GATTACAATTCAGTTGCTGAATTGGTGTATAAAATCACGGATTTTTAAACAACAGAATTTGCATTTTCTTAAGTAGGAAATTATAAAATTGGAAAAAAATTGATCAGTCGAAGGAGTATTTCGAACAACTATGTGATAAAATACTGGAAAAAAGTTCAATGGTATCGTCAGAAAATTGAAACATAAAAAAAATCCTGTTTTATAAACATAAGGATTGTGTAGTTTTAATGGCTACAACTAATTTGCGCACATTTTAAAATTGTTCAGTTAAAACCTCTCGTTTGAACTGAACTCGTTTGTGCACAAATTATTGTAGAAGGTACCACTCGTTTGCGCACAACTTATTATAGAAGGAACAACTCGACAGCGCACAACATTTTGTAGACATATTTTATTGATAACCAATAACCACTTAGGTTTCGAAATAAAATAAAAATACAATGGTTTTGTCGAAAATAACGGATTTATCCATAATTTCGACAGCTCGTTATACTTCGATAAACTTTATCAATATTTATTACCCATGAAATAACTAGTAGGTACTGTTGTACTGATATACATTTTCGTAATTTTTCAACTTTAGTTTCGACATTTCTCTCGTATAGCGAACATGGAATACGAAATATCTAATATATACTAAACGCGTCGCGACACAATGTGTGTGTCTATAAACAATTTTAAATTTTCGAAATACAGAAAATTAAAATGTGGTAATTTTTTATTCCGGTGTACCAATAAAAAATGTAAATCAGTGGCTACGTTTAATAGTCAGTGTACAATTATTATTAATTATAAAAACAAACATAATCACAGCGAATATTCTCAGAACGAAGTACATAAAGATATTATCCAAAGTTCTGTTAAGAGAAAGGCCATTGAAGATATGCATACACAACCAAGTAAAATTATTAGACAAGAATTATTACTAAAATCCGATTTAAATTTAAATCATGGTAACATTCATTTGTTACGAAATTAAATGTATGCAACAAGAAAAAAACATTTTCCGAAACTCCCAAATACTGTTAACTAGGCTGTATTACAGCTGAAAGAATTTGAAGTAAAATTCAAAGATGAATAATTCGTATATTTCAGTGACGATAATTCTGTAGTAATGTTTGCATACTTAGCAAATTTAAGTGATTTATGTGGCGTTAAACATGAATTTGGAGATGGAACATTTTCGTATTGCCCAAAATTATTTTCTCAGCTATATATCATTCACATTTATCAACATTCTTTTACGTACCAGTAGTTTTTTTGCTTTTTAGAAGATAAACATACGTCAACATACACAACTATGTGGGAAACACTTCAAAATCTCTAGGTATACGCACATTCTCGATCGGACTCTTAATATTAAAGAATTTCATGTTGATTTTGAAAAATCAGCTCATAACTCAATTTTAAATGTTTTTCCTCAGTGTAAAATTATATGCTGTACATTTCATTTAGCTCAATCATGGTTTCGTCGAATACAAAAGAGTAGTAAATTATTACGGGAGTATAAAAATAATAATTCAGAGGTAAGTAAATGGCTAAAATATTTTTTTGGTTTGCCGTATTTTCCACCTGAAGAAATAGAAATAGCATTTTCAAATTTAATAGCTATTGCTCCACCTGATGGATTATTATTTTCTGATTATATTTTCGCATTATATATATTGCCTGATTCAAACTTCAATCCATCTCTGTGGGCTGGAAAACCAGGTGATCAACCAAAAACAACTAATGGAGCTGAAGCTTTCCATAGGCATTATAATAATCAATTCTATAGCCCTCACCCACATGTATAACAAGTTATTGATGTAATTAAAAACATACAATCAGAAACGGAATTTAAATTAAATTCAATAAAAATGAATGTCAAAAAAACTATCGCCGGAACGAAGTGCTACAGGCAATTGAATACTCGAAAAATGTATGGACCAAGTATTCGAATAACAAAATAGACCAATTAAATTACTTGGTAACTGCTTCCAAGGCAAACCATTGAAGTAATAAATTTTAAAAAATACACAAAAAACACATTAAATAAAAATGACAAAATCGAAAAATTCGAATTATTTGAAACATATACTACACAATATAATACACAAAAAACACATTTTTAACCACACCAGTGAAGTTAAAATATTCACTGACAGTCCTTAGTCAGTAAAAGTGGGAAGGGAAATATGTGCGCAAACGAGTGGTTGCTTTAGAAATAATCTGTGCGCAAACGAATGGTTGCACTAGAAATATTCAGTACACAAACGAGTTGTAAAAATATGCGCAAACAAGTTGTAATTTAAGTAAATGTGCGCAAACTAGGTGCACCCAGTTTTAATACCCTTGAAAACGGGCTAAGTCGTCTTTATGGATGTTGCACTACAAGATAATACAATTTATACGTGCACTACGAATTTAAAATATATCTATTGTGCCTTTGAGGATTTCACCATCTTCTGAAACAACGATATCCCGTATTTATATAAGCCATACCAAAGTCATAAAAAAAAAAAAAAAAATTCTCATACATATTTGTTATTAAACATAGTATGAGCAAAGACATGTGTTGTAAAAACAGTAGGCAACTACACGCGTTTCCCGGTGAATTTTTAACGTGAATTTCCGATCATCGTAACATGTATATATATATACCTATATATTATATCATCTCGTTTTTATAATCAAATATATTACTTTTCCTACAGATGTTATATGTTTATTGAAACTATTTTATTTTATAAAATATTAAGGTGCTTTTTTATTTTACGTATATGTTATGGTTTTGTTGAAACCGTTCATGACCGAATATCAAAATGGGCATCCTTATAGGAAAACAGATCGTAAAATTCTATAATAAATTTTATAAATTAAATATAGCATGATCTATTGGATCTATTCAAAAAACAATGAAACCATATGATAAAGAAAAATGTGTTGAATAAAATCATACAATTTGTAGTCGTCAAAAAAAAAACCACATATTAGGAAACCCTATTTAATAATATAGACCACCGCATGTCAACTATTGTTGACACCAGTTATTTTTAAGATGATTCGTGTCAACTATAGTTGACATGCAGTCATGAATGTCGTAAACTATTTTATATGAACTCTGGAAGTGTGGAAATCATACATCTTTTAACGAATCTGTACGTGAAAAATTTTTATTAACTCCTAGAACGAATATCCATTGACATAAATAATCCGTTAATAAATTTAAATAAAAGGATGACATACTGTGGTCAGATGAGATAAAGGGATAGATGACTAATATAGGTGATTCATTCATATACATTTGAAATCAATGTACTCTTGATTTCAAAAATGATTCTGAGTTAAGCAGGATGGATGAATCAGTCTCAAATTTTTAAAAATAATTTATATTACTTCATGGTATTAATATAAGGACTTAACATTTCGGTGCCCGGTTATTTAAACTAATTTTGACCAAAAAAATATAAATGAAACTTTTGGACATCAATCACATCAATTTAAAAATAACGAAGATAATTATTATAACTAGAGGAAGACCCAAGGCTCCTTTTATCATAAAAAAAGTCTATTGGAATTCGGTGGTAAACGTTTACCTTCCACAGTTTAAGCTATATTTTACGCCACGGCCGAAGTACAAACCTGGTTATCTTAAATGTATGGAGATTGTAACTAACCCAGATTTTAGTCTGGATCCGCCTTTGATTAAATGTATGTGATGCTAATATAAATATTCATTATATTTTAAACACATTATAGTAAAACCAATACATTCCTCGTTTCACTCAGTTTATAAATTCTTATTTTATTTTTTAATGATGAAAGTTCAGAAATAATTTTATTCCACACAACTGGCCTGTTCAAAATAATATTCCAAGAACGATACATGAAAATTTACTAGTGCTTAATTTTCTAATACCCCAACTTAGACAGATAGAAGAAAAAATATTGTAACTTATTTTCGTTCAGCTGTTATATTTAAAACCTAGTTAACATGTAGTAAAACCAAAAATCAAAAAAATGAACCATTATAAAATTATCAAATTTATACAAATACAAGCAACTAATATGTATTTGGTAGTTCAGATTGTTTCAAAATTTGGTGGGTTTCTTGTTTGAAAATAAATCTTTTTTCCATACATCTGTCCGACTCTCCAGTCTAAAAATATGTAAAAATAAATATTTATATATTATAAAAAATTATACTGTATAAGTGTAAACCTGCCAAAATTGTAATATCTAGTTGAACCAAATATAGAGAATATGTTCCCAACAATTAAACCAGAAATATGAATAGTTCAGAGGTGAACGTTATTATAACATAAATTAGCCCAATCTACATTTTGATTTTCCCACCTGTACAAAGTAAAAAGATTAAATTATCATATTTTCCCTTTTCTGTAAAATCAACAAAGAATAAACTAAAAGTAAAGATAACAACCCTAAAAATTATTTGAATAAACAAATGTTTAAGTATAAGTATTTCATATTTAACAATGCAATAGCCACATAAAATAATAAAAATGTACTAAAAATATTTTTAAATAATCAATCACTAGTTACATGTGTTACTTTAGAAATAATGCTAAATTCAATTTTAGATATAAAATTCAATAATTACTTAAAAGTTTTTTAATTTCATGTTTAGATTTGTTTTGTTTTCAACAGTAATAACCATTTGAACGTAAAAAAAAAAAAATTAGTTCTGTATAATATTGTGTTTTTTTATTGAAAATGGATTTACAAGTCAAAACAATTTTCACAACAAAATTTACTAATGGTAATTTGTTTTAAAATTATTTTTTTTCGATTTTACAAATTTCACTAAAAAAAAGAAAATAATATAATATAAAGTAAAATAATATGCCGTATAATAAGTGATTTTATGATAATAACATCATCTTTTTTAACAAGTGTATATATACCTGTTTTAATAAACGGCAACAATTGAAAAACACAAATATTTTTGAATTATAATTAAATTAATAAGAGTAAAAAAATAATTTATTAATTTAATATATTAGTTAAGTATAAAAAAATTGAATTATAATGAAAGTAAAAAATTTGTATTTACACGTGACTCTATAAGCGCGAAATATAAGAATCTCCAGTTTTATGGTTCGTTTTGAACTTATTTCTGTTTTTTAAACTTAAAAATATATAATTTCAAAAGTGTCAAAAAATGTTTCATTCGCTGTAAAAGAATTAAAAATAATAATAATAAAAAAAAAAAAAAAATCGAAAACAAATAAATAACGATTGAATCACGACTTGTCTTGAACATCGACCAGCTTAAGCCTTTCTGACATTTCTTTTTGAGTTGTTTCTTCGGGAACAATTAAATCTTTATACTCGATATCAGAGACACAGTGGTATCTAAAACAGAGAATAAGGTAATTTGTTTTACTATTAAAAATACATAATTAAAAATAAATACAATATAAGATAAAATTCTTGGTTCCAATATAGGAATTATAGTATTAATTAAACTAATAATAATGAGACATAAATTATTACTTAATATAATAATTATTAATAATAACTAATGATTGATAGCATAAGTATTAATATTTCTTTATTCAGAACTTAAGACATCTATAACTTTTATTTAAATTTATAATAAATGAAGCCAGTCACAATATTAAGTTTTTAAAAATTCAATAAGAAATGAAAAAAATTAATCATATATTTAAAAATATCCTAAAAAAATATAATAACTAAAAAATATTGAAACTACTTTAAAGATAATAAATAAAAAGTTAGAATGATACATGTAAGACAATGCATTTCATGTTTTGAAAATAAAATACATAACAGCATTATTTATTATTTGAACTGTTATCATTATTATGATATTTAAATTAAATGAACAATACATACCGAGTAGACTTGTACTTTAATCGGATGGCATTCTGTTGGATATGCAGTGCACCTTTGTAAGTTTGATTTAAATGTTTAAGAATTGGTATCAGATCATTTAAACAGTAATTAGTTAAATCGGACATTTCTTTGGGCCAAATATCTTCATACTCTAATATCAATCTAGCTAATGCAACTGCTCCACAGCCTATCATGGAAGGCACAAATGATAAGTAAGGATCAGCTTCTAATAAACTCAATTCGCCTAAATACTAAAAAAAAAAATAACATTATTAATACCATTACAGAAAAGTATAAATAAATATTATATATTACCATTGCCAAGTACATGACTTTCAACGAAACATTACAATGAACACAAATATGAGAAAGGAAAATAATGGTTGTAGGATTTGATACATCAAATCCTAAAACTTTCAATATTAACTGTTCCATTTTAAGCACTTGTTTTTTTGTGTAAGTATCATCAGTTATATACACAAATTCACTAACATCAGGAGGATAAATTTCTTCATATTTCCTGAATAAAAAATATTATTTCTTTAGTTGTTATTAAATTATATATATATAAATTAATTTAGACACATACGATGCAACAAACATAGCCGCAGTACCCAACAACTGGAGTTTAGCTCGGACTACAGACATTAAGCTAAGAAAACGATCAATGAATGAAACTGCTAAATACAGAGTTTCATTTTGTAATTTGTACTCCTGCGCTACTTCAACCAACCAATCAACTAATATTGCTCTCATACTGTATGTAACATCTGGTTGCCTTCTCATATAGCCAGGTTTAGGACGGTGAGATTTCTATAAATAAAAAATAATTTCTTATAAATGTTACAGCTGGATAAGAATAATAATGTTTCATTACCTCAACAGCCCTAAGGTAAAAGTATAATTCGCATGTGTAAGTGTCTATGTTACAACTTAATCGATGTGCAGTCATAGACTTATCATGATCAAACATGGGCCAATACACACGACTTGTCTCCAATGATTCATCATCATCATCTACGACACTACTTTTGTCAGCACTTTCACCAACAGCTTTTACAGGTGATTGATTAACTTGACATAAATCAGATAGCGGTTTCCTTTCTTTTGCTGATATATTGGGTACAATAACCTTAGTAAAAAAGTTAGTTTTTTAATTGAATTCATTATGTAATACTAAGTTGCTGACTTATTTACCTCTGATTCACTGATCTTAGATTCATTCTTAAGTACTGCTGGTTTTGTGTTTTCCACATTTTTATCAAATAACTTTTCATCAGCCTTTTTAAAATCAACTGCATCATCTTCATGAATTGTAAATGGTATAGAAGATTTGGTAGGAAAACAAAATGTATTAGTTCCTTGGGTCTAAAAATCAATTATTTTTATTGATAAATTTCAATTAGGTAGTTGTAGGTTTTTAAATAAAATAACTAAAGCAAGAGGTACATATATTATTTTAATTTGTATAATTTTCAAATCAAACAATTTTTAAATACTTTGGAATAAATAAATAGATAGACCTCAAAAAAAGCATTTAAAATATAAACATATTTAAAATTAAAATATATTGAACAATATAACATTAAAAATATTTAGTTATATTGCTTTATATATATGTTTACCTTAAAAACTAATGAAAATAAAATTAATTTTAACTTTTTTTAAATATTATAAGTATACCTATAAAAGTGTTTCAAATTGAGTGTAATATAAAAAACAATTTAGTATCAATCTTAAATTAAATAATTTAAAATTGTACAATGATAATACACTACTTAGCTATTATAATATTACCTACATTCAAACATAAATTTAATAATTATCATATTTTCATGCTTTGATTTATCATGAATCCAGATATTACTTTCTAAGCATAAGATTACACAAATAAAACAAAAATTTTCTAGATATATTTTCCCCAAGGACAGTTAATTTACATAAGTAATTAAACAAATAATTTGTATTGTGAGAAAAATGTAAAAGAAATATATAACTGACTGGCAATAACGAACAATAATTTTATTAAAACAAAATAAAGCCAAACGACTATAAAACAGCCATCAATAATTACAAATGACCAATCTACATCCCCTCGTCTGATTGAAGTCTAATCTAAATAATTGTCAAGACATTATTAATAAGCAAATTTACAGATGGAAATACCGCGAATTGACGAAACACTGAGCGTATTGTATTCACATGTGTAATAGGGACTGCGGGTGTTGGGGTTAAAAATAACTCGAGACACGTCACGAAATTACTTCTGAATAAACGGTAATCACCATACACAATCTACGGTAAAATAAAATAAAAAACTTTAAAGAGAACGACTAGGGTACTGTACCTTCAATTTCGACTGCTGCTCTTGTTTGTTAAACGGTTGCTTGGAATTCAGCACGCCGAGCACCGACCGTCGTTTGGTCAGTCTGTCTCTCGGCAAGTTATTCTCCTTGTTACGCAAAACGTTGCCCGCATTCTCTTGGTCTCTAAAAACCGTAAACTCCATCTCTTCGACTCTCCGCGATCAAATGATGTGTGTCAAATAACTAACGGCGGCGGCGGCGGCGGCTGAACGAACGTATCGAACTATCGGGAGTGTTGTGATGTGCTCTTGACGTATACAATCTTCAGGCTCGAATAGTCGACATCGGGAGACCTGATGGTTTTTACGCGGTAGAAATAAAATGTGTTAAAATGATTGCGAAATAATTTTATTATATAATACCGGTTTTGATCGGATCACAATCACTGTGCAAATGCGCGGGGAGCGGAGCGGATACGAGAAAAACAATACGCGTATACTGGGCCGTAAATGAATGGTGCGAAAATTTGACGGGAGGGAAAAAAATCTCCGGCGAGATCCACACGGATTCCGTGTACGCGACCCGACCGCCAGCAGTGGAAAAGAGTAGCGCAAACAAAAATTCGAACGGACAAGGGAGTTGTAACGGTTATTTTTTTTCAAATGACAGGTGTTCGGAGTATCGGACTGGTGTCGGTGAACAGTGAGTAGGGGCAGTGACGGTGGCGTCATGGTGCACGGAGCAAGTTGTGCGAGCAACGACACTCCCGGCGGTTTTTTTACCGGTTGTCGCCGACGTTGCTTGTTGGTCACACTGCACACAGCCTTACCGCGGTTGATAACGTCCATGTGACCGGCGGCCGCCAACGACCAAACTATTATATTCTGTGACCAAACCGTGCACGTTGAGATAACGAATTACAGACTTGGGAAACTGACGAATGACAGTCCTCGATGAACGATTGAAATTTTAAAAATTGCTCCCATAAAAATTTGGTATTGTTACTGCTCCTCGACGATCAAGTGTACTGATTGTATTCGTGGACGAAGGTGTCACGGCTCGAGATGAACTCGATCAAGTTGTGAGTACAACCTTTTTTTATTCAATTTTATACTAAGGTTTAGTCCTGCTATAACATGTTGCACGTCAGTTAGTTTGTACCGGTTTCATGATCAATGTAGATTTATAGTCAAATACGAATATATACTCTCAACTTTAAATTAATAACTTTAAAAAATTATTTCAAGTCCAAATCAGAAGCATTATTGACAATGTTTTATACATCTATTTAAGAATGAGATTATTTAATCATTCTAATTTATTTATTACTTTAATATTTTTTTTTTAGACATAACTATTGCACAAATTATTACAGTACATTTATTTTTAATGATTATTGTTTTAATTTATTTTAGAGATCAGGGCCAGCTCAAGGTATAGGTAAGCTAAGTATTTTAGTAGAGGTGGCATTTTCAAAATTGACACATACATTATTTTTAGTTCTGTCAGTGTTTTATAAAAGAAATATTTAAATTACTTTATTCGTAAAAATCACTTACCTATTTAATAAAATAATATTGTCTAAAGTTATTATATTATTTTATATTATGACCTACGCAGGACATTTTCAATTATTCCAAAAATATAAATAACCACACAATCACTTCTGCGATTTCCAACAGTCACGATAGTGAATGGTTTTGATTTATAATTATAGAAATCATTTTTAAGTCTTTAAGTATAATTTTATATTAAATTAAAATTTTTTTTACATAGATATGTCACATAAAAAATAGGGGGAGGGGCTAAGTTAAAATAAGAGCTCAAATTTTTATTTTTAGAGGTGGTAAAATTTGATTTTGCCTACTGCACTATTTTTGCTCAGCCCTAATAGAAATATATAGCTAAACAAATATTAGTTAAAATATTCTAGTATATGACTCATATTATTTCTATAGAAAATAATAATTTGTTTTAATTACTTTTATTTTCAGAAATATACAAGAGACATACATCAAAGAATATCTAGTAAGTTTATTAGTATTTTGAATAATTGATTATTTTTATGTGTACCCTTAATAATTGTACATTATAATGATATATTATAATTCTAGGCGCTTCAAAAAAGAAGCGATGGTAGGGGTTTGACAGGTTTTCGTGATGCATCCTTAAATATTAATTCAATACATACAGCAGATGGATCATCGGTAATAAAAATTGGAAATACAGCTGTAGTTTGTGGCATAAAAGCTGTTAGTATTGTTAATCTTAATAATTTTTATCAATTTGTAAAAATTTGTTTTTTTTTTTAGGAGTTAGGTATTCCTAAAGCTGAAAGTCCTGATGTTGGATACCTTTTAGTAAATGTAGAATTACCTAGTCTATGCTATAAAAAAATTCGTCCTGGAATTCCATGTGATGAAGCAATGGAAACCACCAGTTTCCTAAATGAAGTGTGTAATAATTGCAAAATACTAGACCTTCAACAATTGTGTATATGTGTTGATAAATTAGTATGGATTCTATCATGCGACATATACTGTTTAAACTATGATGGATCTGTATTAGATGCATGTTTTGTAGCTTTGTTATCAGCATTACAGACAGGTAAAGTCTGTTTTGCATGAGCCACTGTGTGCCAATACAGAAAAGACAGTGATACTATACTAACCATATGGTTCATATGGTTTTCATATAATAACCACAATTTTATTTTTTTGTACATTTTACATTTTTTTTTTATGTATAGTGTATAATATTTTATGGATTTTTTGGGAATAAATACCATTAAATAGTTAGAGCTGTTTTTAGGTTCAACCCAATATCGACAATTTTTTTTTCTATTACACTTGCTAAGTATAGCCAAGACTCAAACAATAAAATATACAAATGGTATATTTTCATCCATCATAATAAAATCATTCAACTTGGTACTACCACATACAATAACTAATTATCATCATAGCCATCAGACATTTTTATATTCTATGGAATTTTTTAGAAATATCACAATCTGTTATTCTAGAACATACTATTTCCCAAACTTATTGTAGGCTTGTAGTTCTTATGGAATTAATTCATTAATTTAGAGTATTTCTTACTGTGACGTGATTTCTAGCAAGAACTGATCACATAAGCACATTTGTGGCATCTAAATTTGATGACAACACAATGTAAATTTTTCAGTGGTACCACTATCTCTTCTGTGACAATACAAAGTTGCTTATGGAAAATAGACTTAATATTAAAGTTAGTATTTACTTAAATTTTTTATTTATTTATTTTTTTTTTTCAGTTAAATTACCAGAAGTAAAATATGACAAAGAAACTGATGAAATAAATGTTATTGAAGATTATAAATTTCTAAAATTAAATTGTTTACCTGTAGCTTCTACTTTTGGAGTATTCAATGATAAATATATTTTAGCTGATCCAACTGAAGAAGAAGAACAATTATGTATCAGTAAATTTTCAGTTGTTACTGATGGTAATTTACTGTTTTCGTTACATAAACCAGGTAATCCATTAATTTATATAATTATTTTTGCCATGCATTAAAAAGCAAACTTTTCAACTATATGTTAATATACTGCAAGTCTGTAATTTATATTTTATTGTATTATACTAAGTGGTCCATCATAATATTTTAGTAGGTATTAATTATATTGTTATTTGGAAGTTGAACACTAGTATTATTAACATTTATTTTATATAAGGTATATCATTTATTTAGTATAAATAGAAATTGGTTCAGTTTCTCGTAAAGTTAATATCAAAAGGAACTTGTTTAATTCTTTGTTCCTATAAAAAAAGTAATTTTTTATTTTCCTTGTTCCTCAAGAAAATCATCTGTTTCTTAACCTTAGTTTATCATAAAAAATAAATCTTTATAAAATTATTTTACGTTACATGCTAAATGTTTTAATTTGAAGTAAATGTATACAAAACATTATTTCTTATATTTCTTAAATAGTAAATATATTATACTTTACTCAAAACATAAATTAATGCAAATTTTAATTTGACTATAGGTACTTTATTATAAAAAAAATGTTTAATATTATTAAATAAATAGCACATTTCAATTATCAGCTATAATGCTTCTATTGTTTTAAAATTACAAGGTGAAAAGATCATCGCTTAATTTGAATCGTTGAACAATCCTCATTATGGAATCAATTAAAAAAAGTCTACAAATGTATTTGATGGTAGTGGAGTGTTGTATTCTAAGAATAGCTTTAAAACTAATGGATATATAAATAATGATGATATTTCTTGATTTTGAGAATTTAAATAATTGTTCATTTAATTTTCAGTAATAGTTGTTTTTTGTAATTATTAAAAACCTTTTTTGTTTTTTATTGTTGAACTCGCATTCATCTTCTAAACTTGAATTTTCTCCCACTAACACTAGTGTTTCAGTTTCAAATACTGACTTTAACCATGTATATGTCTTCATTTTATCTGAACCTTCTAAACAATTAAACTTAAATCGAGGCATTGTGTATGTTGACGCTACATACTCTTTTTGTCTTCCAAATTGGCTCAAATAGTTTCTTTACTGATTCTTTAATGGTATTTAATAGTTAACCATAGTAAATTCAATATTTTTCTGTAATCCTATCAATTTTATCTGCAGTATAGTTGGTAGTAAATAACCCAAACTTTCCTTTTTTATCTTGCAAAAAATCCAGACAAAAAATCAAAAAGTATCTGCCAAGTATTCCATTATATCCATAAACACTTCAGTAAAACTCTGCGCCAAATCTCCTCATTCATAATAATATTTAAGTTATTGTAATTACCTAATATCCTATTAGATATTTATAAATAATTATATTTATTTATTTTGAATAAAATGTAGTGTTATTATTTTCAGGAGGAAATTACATAAAAGATAATCAGATTCAAAATTGTGTTAAGTATGCCAAAATTAGAGCCAAGACAGTTCATGAACTTATAAAATCAGTACAATAAAATTTTATTTTATTATTTTGGTTTGAATTTTTAATACTTATAACTTTTTGTATTTTTATGAAGTATATATTTGTTGATTATACTTTATCTTTTAGTATTGATAAACATTACATTTAATAAAATTAAATTAATTTTTGAATGAAAAATTCCTCCTTCTAAATTGTCATTTTTTTACCATTTTTTTGTTTATTTTAATTTTAATTTAATTAATATAAAACATTGTATCCTATTATATACTGATATTTATTATTGAGATTCTACATTTTCTACAATGATTGGGTCTTTCCATCTTGGTACCTGGTAACTTAAAACAATTAAAGAAGAATAATGGTATCAATATTTAATTCATTTTTCATAAACCATATGGAAGTTAGAGGTTTTAAAGTTAAAAATAATTTCCAACCAAGTATAAATCTCCTTGTCAATTTATTAGTTTTTTACTACTTTTTTATAAAATATTTATTTTTCAATAAAAAAATTATTGGTTTATTAGTTTGTTTCATTCAACACTGAATTAAGTAATTTGATGTATTTATAATTTAATTTCTACTTAACTAAAATCTTGATCTGAGAAGCAAAGTATAATTAAAATTCATAAAAATTAACTGTACTCTTAATAATTAAATTATACTACTTAAAATTATAATTTTCAAGCCGAAAAACCTTAATATTTTATATTAAGACACCACTTCAAGTAGGTTATTGGGTAAAAAAAATTAATTTTAAGTGCATCTCAAGACCGGGCAAGATTACTCGCCGGTTTGGACAGTTAAAAACGAAAACATCCTTCAATTTGCCATGCAACACCACCCCAAGTAGATCGCAAGACAAAAAAGTAAAATTCGACAAATATAATAATACACATAATATTATATTATCGTACTGATTTGAACGTAACAAAAAAAAAATTTCAAAAAAAGGCACATCATTCTATTAACTTCCAGTAAGTACTTCTAAGTACCATGTTATCTATTGCTCCATGGTACAGATTTAAATTATTTACCAACATGAGCTATTTAAGCAAAACTTTAAATGACTATAACTACAAAACTAATTATCAGCACCAATTTTCATTTGCACCATCGTATTCAGTGTCAAAAAATATATAAAAAAAAAAAAAACCAAAATAAAAAAAAATTCCAAAATTTAGAGTGCCCCATAAAATAGAAATACCTTTAAAGGTATTATTTCAAATATTTTATTTAAAATTATGATTGAGAAGAATCATTTTAGAACTATTTAATACAGTATAAAAATAATTTTTTCGTTTAAAATAAAATTATATATATATATATATATATATATATATATATATATATATATATGTTTTGAATAAAAAAATGTTTGTATAAACGTATTTAATACAAATTTTATTCAAGTTCGTTTGCTTTTCTTTGAAGCTCAATTATCGTATTTTCCCTTTTTAATATATCTCGTTTTTCATTATTGATTTCTTTTTTTAATTTATCCATATCATCTTCAAATTGATCTACTGTTGTTTTATATATATTTTTTCTTTCTGCGACTTCATTTCTTAAATCCGGTAATTGTTCCTTTAATTTATCATTCTTTATTGTTAACGACTAGTATACAACAGATGTTAATATTTATTTTACAAAAATATTATGAAAGCTTTTAAAATATTTAAAAATAAATAAATACTTTTAGTTTATTTTGAGTCATTTCTATTTCGTTTAAAATTACTGATAAAAATGAATCTGCAGTTTCATCAGCAGAATTTTCTACTGCACACAAACTATCTTTAAAACTCTTTTCTTTATTATATGCATAAATAATCTCGTGAGCTAGATGCCATTCCCATTTAGCGTCCCTATACTTCTTTATGTTTGAAATAATTGAGTTTTCCAAATCGGCAAACATCTCGTCCAATATATTACAGTATTTACTGGAAATACTGGTCAATATCTCTTTTTTTTCTTCTATCAATACTTCAAAATATCTTTAAAAAAGTTAAAAAATATCAACCATAAATTTTTATTAATTTCTAAATATTTGGTTTAATTTGAGATCAAATCATACATATATGTATATATTCATCAAAATGCAATAAATATAATTAGGATAAAGGACTGGTAGAATTCGCATATTTGTTTTACACAATCACACAAATAGTAGAGTACAAAACAAATACGTTTTTTGCTTTCACAAAACTAGCCTTGAAATTTTATTTGGCATATATGTGCATATTTCGAATTTTCTTTATTTTTAGGGCATATTTTTCTTGCATTTTATACTTTTATATGCATATTATAAATAATTTATAGCAAAATATTAATTAAAATTAAGTAAATTCCCTGGTCCAATTGGAAAATAGGAATAAAATCAGAATTTTAAGTTAAATTAAAATTATTAAATTTTAAATAACATGACAACTTTAATAAATGATCTACTTATATATTTAACTTAAGAGTAATTGATTTAATCTATTTTAAATACATCCCAGTTAATTAGGTCGATGTAGTGCGGTAGTTGTGTGCACACTGTGCTGTTACAGCTAATTTTTTCAGTTAGGCAATTTGAAACAACATTTATTTAATTATCTACTAGTTTTAATAATTTTACTTAAATACTAGGAAATTTATTTTTTAGGGTCAGAAGAAAAATTTTCAAGAAATTAAATTTTATAACCTACATATTTTGTTAAAAATGATTTATATATTATTTATACAAATCATTTTAAAAAAATATAAGAACATATTAAAGTGTTTTTAAGTGCATAAATGATTGCATATTTAGTGCCCTTTTAGAGCTAAAAGTCCTGTATCCTAATAATGTACCTAAGCTTTATCTAAATTATATTATGCAGGATGATTTTTAAATTTCTTAATCTTTTTATGCTTGCAATTTACTCAAATTTTGACTATTAGAAATTGTAAATGTACTAACAAGCTATATTATCCAATACATGGATTTTTTGTATCTCAAAATTCAGACCAATTCTTTCGAAACTATTTAAATTTAAAACTAGTTATAAGTAGTGTAAAACGATTAGATAATTTATATTTTGTCATTATAACTTCAAGATCGCCAATATAATAAAATTAGTTAATTTGTTTTGAATGTCTATCAATCACAAATAAAAATCATATGGGTATTCTAATTTTCTAGACCAAACTTGAATTATTTCACAATTCCATCTTCATGTAGAATTTCAAATTTGAATAATTCTAAAAAGACTTGTCCGAATTTTGACTAAACTTGATATGTACATATAGTCTATAAGTACATAATACCAAAAATCAGAATTTGAGGATTTCCATAATTTTAGTATGCACAAAATTCACAATGCTTTTACTTAAAACAATATTATTTATTAATTATTATACCAAACCTGTACAAAATTCATTATTCAACTGGAAAAAGTTATTATCATTAAATAAATTTCATTTTATGAATACACACCACTATTTTAATAAAAAAATTTGTATTTACTTTGGAAATAAATATTGAGGATATTCATGTGACAAGATATCCATATATTTAGTACTAGGCCGTTGTTGATGCAAATCATTCCATAGAGTGGAAGACACAAAGCTATAACAGCATTTCAGTGGCAATGGAACCATAGGAGAAATCGTTGAAACATTTATTGCGGTTTCTAAAGTCTCAAACCTTTTCTCAATCTATACAGAAATTTTAAAACTTATGTTTATAATGCTACAAGACAATGAAATTCAATGATATTAAAACGCCATATTTATACGACATGGTCGGTAAAATAAATAACGCCCTATAGTACAAAAAATAAAAATAAATCCTGAATACCAAAAGACACTGCAAAAACATAATCAAGTTTGATCTCAATGAGATATCGAAGTATACATAAAAAGCGTAAAACATAAGCATAGACGTAAATAGGGGACTAAGGGGGGCTTAGCCCCAAAAAAAATATTCAGATAAAACTTATAAAGTTGTAAATTGTGTTATTTATCTAAATTTATTTAAATTTATATAATTAGCGCTCACAATACCACAAGGTTCAGCATCATGTGAGAGGCCATTTTCAGCCATACGCAGGATAAAAATTGGCTGTGCACTTCTATGGAACAAGATCGTTTCATTAGTTTATCAGTAATTTATATTGAAAAAAGTATATCTAATGAAATAGACAATAACGAAATTACTAAACTTTAACTTAACTTTTTAAATATTAAAAGAATTTGTAAAAAATTATCATAAATTACAACTATAAACAAATAATATGTAAATTTTTTTTTTTTTAGTATCTGTAATTTACTTATTACTTAATAATTATAAATGTAAGTTAGGGATATGTATTTTTCAGTTAAATTATAGTAGTGAGAGAAGTTTATAAGTAAAAAAGGGCCTTAGGTAAAAATTCTAAATATATTATGTTGTATATTGTATAGGTAATATTTGTGAGGGACGGTGTTTTTATTCACATATTTCTTAACTTAGTATGGTGGAGCATTCCTTATCTTAAAGACCATGGTCGGGCGTTCCTTATTCTACCGATTATAGTCTGGACATTAAGTTACCAACTGTTGTCGGACGTTTAGATACAGTGATATTTACCGCCCCTGCAAACCCTATTAATTTTTCATCAAAACAACCTTAGCGACGAACAAAAATTAAGGTACTCTAGAGGTTCGATTTAAAAAATGTAAAGCTGTTTGAATTGGTAAACAAGTCAAATTTGAATCGGTCGGAGCGTATATTTAATTTTTTTAATATTCAATATTAAAAATTGACAAATTTATAAATTGTAAAATTTTTATTTTCGTCAACAATTTGCTAAAATCGATAAACTCCGACTGATGCAAAGTTAATCCTCCACATACTAGATACAGATACAAATTAAAAAAAAAAAAGTCATGAACGGCTGGCAGTAGTGTATTATTACACTAGTGTAATAGTTGAGCAGAATGAATTGACGGAAGAATAGAACAGAGTATAAGTGTTGCGGAAATGAGAATGCTTAGATGGATGAGTAGATTGATAAGAGAAGATAGAATAAGGAAAAAATATGTGAGAGATAGGAGAGAGTGTGGTAAGTGGACGAACATAAGGATTGATTAATATTTACATTATTAAATAATAGTCGGAAAATCATGAAATTTTGTATAAGCATTGTCTTAAATATGAAGAATAGCTTGTAATAATTTCAAGTTTTAATATTAAATGGTTTATCACTTATAAATTTTACAAAAAAAATTCTGTATTCGTCATCTTACCCCGTACTTGGGGTAAGTTGATTGGTGTATAATATTACAAAGATAAATCAATGAAATATAGAATAAATATTTTGTATATTTAATCTATGATAATATTAAATATTTTATAATAAATTACTCAAGGTAAATTATTGAATATTATTTTTAAGTAATTTATTTATTTATTTAATTTTATTAAAATGTTTCATACAAATTGTATTCACGATATATTTCACAAAATAATACAAATTATTATTTGATTAAATAAAAATGATCAAAAAAATTTAAATAATACAATAACCTTTATTCAAAATTCAAAATTAACAATTTAATAATTTAAACAGTTTAGAATTAATAGAAAAAAATAAGATCTCATACAAAACAACAAAAAATATCAATGCTTAGATACTTTTATCAGTCATAACTCATATTTAAGTAATAACAAATAGATTATGAACATAATTAATTCTCATTTTAGTACCTATATGCTAAAAATAAAATAAAAATGTATTTAGGTAAACATTATATTTAAAATTTAAAAATCCTATAAAGATACCAATTCTTAGGAACTTCTATCAGTCGTAATTGAGTAGGTACCTATTAACAATTACAAAATTATCATAATTAAAATACAGCTTAGGTAGTACCTATATGATATAAACAAAATAAAATTGATTTAATTTGATATAAATCAGAAATAGGTTCACTTCTTAGAATTTGTTTTGGTCTTACATTTTTATCTCCAAAAATGTTAAGTGACGTATTTGTCTATAAAATCTATCCAATCATTCCAGAAAAATATTTAGAATTTACTGACTACATATTAGAATATTATACATATTATATTATCTTAAAATGCTCAATTTCCTCCAAGTATATTGGCATAATGTTCGATTAATGTACAACGAACAACAAACGCATGTGAAGCCTTTCATTCCAAATTAAATTCATCTTTTTACTCAAGCCATCCAAATATACATAAATTTATAAATGTTTTAAAATCATTTAAAATTAATACTTATATGTTAATGAATAGGGTAAATACGCCCAAAAAAGATTATAAAAGAAAAAAATATCAAAAAATTGACTATTAAATAATGAAATAAAAAAATTCAAAGAAAAAACAAATTCTGCTTTTATATATTTAAAAAAAGTTTCACTCAAATTTCAGCCAACATTATTTTAAATAAATAATTAATAGTTTTATAAATTATCTAATTTTCTATTTTTTTTAACAATTGACAATTTCATCTGTTTTTATTAATAATAATTAGAGCAGAGGACTTGTAGCATTTGCATATTTTTGTTGCACAGTCACAAAAATAGCAGATTGCGAAACAAATACGTTTCGTGCTTCCGCAAAGCTAGTTTTGAAATTTTATTGTGCATATAAACGCATATTTTGCGGTTTTTTTGTTTTTATGGCATATTTCTTCCATTTTATACTTTTAGATGCATATTTTAAATAATTTATCATATAACAATATTTTTTCGTCTACGTTTTTATTTATTTATTTATACAAACAAAATAACATTGAATTTAAAATTATTTTAAATTTTAACCATAATATTAATATGGTTTTTGACTTCTCCCGGACCCATCATGGTTTTTCTAAAAACACGTCACGAGAGTAGTATTGTTATCGAGTTATAAATTTTATTTATAGACAGATGAGATAATATTGTTCAACGCACAAAATATTGATACGGGCCACGGGGACGCCTGACGCCGATATCGGACATATTCATATATCAGTAATCGCTGTTTCTCAACGGTTGACGGTCCAAACACGTTCTATTTACTATTTATTATAAAAAATGCCTAAAATAAGTATCCAGATAAGAAAACCCATAAAATAAACCCAATTAATTATTTTTAACTTGTAAGTTAGATAAAATTGTAAATAAAATGTTTTCATTATAATAAGTACCTACAGAAAAATTCTTATTTTATGTTCAAAAAAATGAATTTTAAAATGCATATTTTGTATATTTAAGTGCATACTTGGTAATTTTTTAGAGCTACAAGTTCTCTGCCCTAATAATAATAAATGTATTTTTACACGATCTGTAAATAGCTTATATAATTTTATTTATTTAAATGTGATTAATTACTTGTAATACTTATTTTATCCTATGTTTATGACTTATTTGTGCTGGGACGCAATTTGGCTGTCACAAAAGGTACTCTTGGACGCAAATAGGTTATGACCTTTTTTGAACCTTTTTTGGTGGGACGCAAATTACCTACTCATAATAATCTCGGACGCAAGTAGTATGCACTGCTTTCGTAGCACTAACGCTAGTGTTGTTCTGACCATTTAGTAAGTACAAGAATTTCTATTTTTTGGGACAAGCGATCCAACTGTTATAAAAGTGGGGTAAAACGCTTTTTTTAAGGGTTTAAGCGAAATTCTTGAAAATGTTATTGGCTAAGCGACAAATTCATGGCACTTAGCCCCTACGATGGTTGCTTATCAACTTTCATAATAATAATAATATGACTTATGTGTATCAAACCATTTTTTATATTGATATAAGTGATTATATGAGTAAAAGTCTTTATACGTCCGAGGTAGGTATACAAACTTACGTAATAAAAATTAAAGCCAAGCGCCAAAAAAAGGTAAGTTTAGTTAAATTGGTTATGATAAAAAATGTACTTAATATTTCAATGTAATTAGTGTCAGACCAGTAAGATAACATTTAATAGAATGGAAATATATAATTACCTTATTCCTAAAATTAGGAATCCTAATGCTTAAATAAATACCGAAGTGACAACGCCAAAGTTAAGAAAATATGAAAATTTTGTTTTTGCTCTCCTGAAAAGTAGTAAAGTTGTCGCTTAACCCTTTTTACCAGTCGATATGTGCCCAGCTTTATTAAACTATGTATTCGTCGATATTAAAATTTTATTTTTTTTAATTATAAAATGTGATTAACCGGGTGAATCACCCGTATTATTTCTGAAGTAATCTGAAATTATTTCGTAATTGAGTATTCGGAATCTAGTCGTCATCGACTAATAATGATCATTTACAACGCACACACTAATATTATTGCCCATATGAACCTTTTATAAACTATCCGTTTACAATGTATGTATCATTTTTATATTTCCTTTCAATTTAAAAATAAATTATATTATATTAGTAGATAATATATCTTCTTACTTCAATCAATACTGATTTGATTTGCTTCTTTAATATTGAAAGCATCTTGATTCTACAAAACATTTTAAGATCACTCACTCCAATAGCCTTCAAGTCAATCTATAAAATTAGATATTTAATATATATTGCTTCTATTATTTACTATTATTAAGTATGTTTTTTTTTATATATACTTAATTTAAAAATTATTACCTCAAGAAATTTAAGTAACTTATTAATGAACGGATGAGTACATTTTGTGTTATTTCTTTCAGCCAACATTTCTTGTTGGACATTTTCATATAATGTTTTATAAAAACCATAAGAATCATTTCTTGTACATAATGGTCTCCTGTTTTTCAAAATCATCCATACTTTTTTAACGTCAGGATGTTTGGGCTCTAAAATTTGAAAATGTCCTTTAAGATGCTCCACATGCAAATGTGATGGAATTGGTGTTTGTATTGGATGGCCTTTACAATTCAACCATTGAGTATCATCTCCATCACCCATCGAAATAGCTACATAACCGAAAACACCACTATTGTTTGGTAAAGTTCGAATTGCTACGTAGGTACGATTATCAGCAGACATTAAATGTTCAAATTCATCAAGATCCAAATCGCGATTCTCAGGCTCCTTATCCACATTATACTGTAAAATCGATAGAAGTTCTTAAAGACATTTTAATAAATACTAACTAACTTAAACTTTATATGCAATTTAATAACTTTTAAAATAAAAAATAACTTTCTTTTAAGTTATATTTTCTATGTGCACGTGAAACAATTCGTACACTGTTAATATTTAAATTTCTTGGGTATGGAAATTTTATTTTGTGTTTAAATAAAACTTATTGCCAAAAAAAAAAACTATTTTATTTTAAAACAAGTCACTTGAGGTAAATATGTCCACAAAATAAAGTAAGATAAAGTTTGTGACAATATAAAAATATACTTATATTGTTAATGTTATCTATTGATATTGTTCTCACAATTGATAAGTTAGAATATACCCAAGTAAATACCTTAGCTAAAGAAAGATTGAAAACGAATTGGTCCTTTTGTTTAATCCAGACAATATCAAATAATTTAATGTTTAATTAACATTTATTTGTGTAGTGATCATTTAACAATACATTTTTTAATGACATTTGAAATAACAAATTAAAAATTATCAAATCATCTAGATAAACCTACCCTTTAGGGTCAATATACTACCAGGGCCGAACTAACCAGGTGTACAAGGTGTTCAAAAAACAAAGGCGACTTTATAAATCAAATCTCAGAAAGAATAATCATAATAATACTTGTAGAATAATCATTTATTGTAAACATAATAAAAAATATGTTTTAAATACTATGTTACAAGCTACTCCACGTCACTTTGTATTAGAATTTTGTTAAACACTTTGAGTATTAAAATAAATGTATTAATGTATTAAAAGTCTCATGTCTATTTAAATTAAACACATCTTCGACTCGCAACACTTGAAATCGAGCCGGTGGCACGTAACAACTACATAAATATAAATTAATAACAATTTTTAAGTTAACAAAACTGTGAACAGTGTTCAGATAAGAAATTTAGGAAGGGGACAGAAAATTTGTTTGTATAACATAGGCAACAAAGTAGGTTAGAATAGGCCTGTGTACAACATACATACATCAAATTGGAAATAGGTGTGTATATTTATAGTATGATAGTAATACATTAGTGTTGTCTTCCTTTTCTAATGACGCATTTTGATTCAACATTGATTTTAACCAATCAACTAACTTCATGTATGCATGAAGTGATGGCTTTTCATTGAATGGAGATCTCAGTTTATTATTTTCGATGTCCATTAACATTTGACTCAGTGCCATGTTACGGATACGAGCATCCTCTATGTCTTCATTAGAATTTTCAAGGATCAAAAGTAACCATTCCTTATAAAAAACAAGTCAATACTGTTATCAAATATGCATAACATAACCATTGGGCTACATAGTTTTATGAATATAAAAGTTAAACATCTAAAGATTTTAATTTTCTAACCATTTATATAGAAGAATTTATTTCTTGGGAATGATTTTCTTCAAGGTGATATTTATTAATAATAATTTAGTTTAAATTTACTTGAATAATAGTTTTCTCGTCCGATTCATCAATTTCGTTAAAAGATTCTTCTAGATGAGATATGTAAACTAAAAGATCCTGAGAAAGGATATTCAATTTTATATCATCATTCAAGATAGACATATTTAAAATTATGAATTAACTCTAGTGTTAAATACTTTTGAATAGGTACCAAAATGTATATTTAATAGCTTATTTATTTTTATATAGGTAAAACCATAAAATGTATTATCTATAGCAACTAACAACATATAATAGCATTAACTCTAAACAGGGATATTTATCTATAATGGTTAACTCTTTGTAAATATATATATTTTTAAACTGCAGCCAAAAATTAAATAAAAATAAGTTTGTAACAACATCAATACATGACAAAATAAATAAATCATAAATTATAATTAATCAATATTTTTGGTAATTTATTAAGTTAAAAAATGAATAAAGAAATTATGAAGTCTTATCATTATAATTAAAATAAATAACTTTTTCAGTAGGTATGTGTTTCAATTGATAACATACCATGTTTTTTCAATGTGATATTATTAAAGTAAATTCAGAGTGTCACATTTAAATAAAATTATTTGATGTAAGAATGAGAAAACTGTGGTATGCAAACAAATTTGACAATAGCTAACATGGAATCAATTATGCATAATAAACAAATGAAACCTAGAAAGTATTGATTCCACATTTTCACTTTTAAAAGTTAACTAACAAAATTCCAGATAAGATAAATAGATAGTAGAGTATAAAAGATACTCTCAACCAACATAAAATTGAATGCATAATGTTTCATTTTAAAATATTTTTATTTATAACAGTATTTTAGTAAAAAAAAAAAAAAACACTTGGAAACATTTTACTTAATAAAACAATATTTAGAAAACAATTTAAGAATGATAAGATTTAATTTCACTTTATAAAATTACAATTTTTTTGAGTCCATCATGAACAAGTTACAATTAATAATGTATGGATAGATTCTTATTTTATAGTTTATATTCATTGTTCAAGATTATAGCTATTAGAACTTGAAAATTTGGAATATATTCAGTTATTATTAACAAATAAATATTCAGATATACCAAAAATCTTCTTTGTAAAAATGTATATTAAACTTTAAATAGTTTTTAAATTAATCATAAAAGCTAAATTATCATATACCTATTACATATAAATAATACCATATATATAATTTTTATAGTAATTATATAATTGTCTTATGATTAATTTTGCTTCACTTTGACATATGATTATTTAATTATTTAATAAAAAAAAATTTTTATCAAAAAAAAAAAAAAATGAAAACAAAATAAAATTTGAGAAAAAAAATCAATTATCTGTACTAAAATAAAATAATAACAATAATAAAAAAATTAATAGTTTAAACAATTACAATAATCTTAGGTAGTCTTATATACACAATAGTAGTAAATAACAAAAGGTTACTTATGACTAATATTTTTTTCCTAGAGGTTAAATAAAGTATACTTTGATGGAATGGAATGACTCGAAAATGAAATACATAATGATAAAATAATAACAATAAAAAATAAAATAAATAATAACACAATTAAATCAATAGATTTTATTTACAATGTACAAATAAAAGTACCAATCACAAAAATATTTCATAATGATAAATAACCAATAGAAATAATAAATTATTCATAGTTAAGGTAAAAATATAATGTTAATATCTATCAATCATATTTTTTAATGTATAATATGGCAATCTGTACATGGTCAAGGGACAGCTCTATAAGTCACAATAATTAAACAAAATGTAAAATATTTACAACTAATATACTAAAATCAATACTGATATTGTATTTGAACATAGTAAAATAATATGAATTAAGTTCAAACATAACCATAAAAAATTAATAAGAACTAGACATTTATAACATCATATTTAATCAAAAATTTGTTTTATATTTAATATATTAGGATTCTAATTAACTTTGACTAAAAAAAATTAATATAAATAAATGTGAAAACATATTATTATAATATAATTTCGTTACTTAAATATACTTTTAAAAAAATTTTTAATACATTGTCTTTAATTATATAAATAATTATATATTCATGTAAATAAAAAATTACAAACCTTCAATAGTATATAGTATATATACTATCTATTTTTAAAAGTTTTCAATCTTTGTAAATCTCTTTATATAATTTATACATTTAAACTATACATAGATATTTACAAATACAATAACTTATCTCATAAATAATTTAAATAAGACAAAAATTTGAATTTATAACTTGGTTTAAAAATATTCTGTCAAGTGAACATAATTGTTGCATTGTTATATATAATATTTTTTAAATAAATTTAATGTAGGTATTTATTTTTGTCGAAAACTACTTGATATTAAAAACAAAGTAACTATTTCTATAAATAATTTATATATACAATCCCACACCATAACTAACCTCCTAAGCAGTTTTAGTAACCGGCATTCCTTTAAAACCGTCTCTAATTGTTTTATTTTTATTATCCCACATAAATATATAGATATAATTCTTACTTAATATCTACAAAAAAAAAAAAAAAATATATATATATATATATATATAAAATAAGTTTTGTTTATGAACTAAATGTTAAAATAAATTAGGAATTGATACATACAAAACATTTTATTACTAAAATTAAATCAAAAATTCAGTCTATAATTTAATCAACATCAATGCACCCATAACTTTGCAGTACCATTAGATAGTTTCCTTCTTATTATGGCACTGTATAAAATGTAAATATACAATTAATTATAACAATAGTTTAACAAGAGCCTTGAGATAGATTTTAAGTAAATAATATGATATTAATATATTTTGAATGAAAATGAATATAATCTTTTTAACTAAATCAGAAATAGATAATAAAAAAATTATAATTTTACTCTTAATTTGTAATGTATATTATGTACATAATTTACAAGAATTTTTTTTTTTAAATAGTAAATTATTTATATTTTTATAATTGTGTAACTAACAAAAGTAAATTGATAATATCATGGCAACTAGAATATAGTTGTTATAATGAATAATAAATAACTGAAATTTAACTCATAGGAAGTTGTAATAGGTGTAATAATAATTGTTTGTAAAGCATAGATTATTAAAGATGAATTATACATTCATATGTTATCATGTTATCAAAATTAAACAAACCTTCCATCCATGATGTAGATAGTTTTCGCTTTATTCCTTTACAATTTTCAACATCTGAAGATGTAGGTTGATTATTTGTTTCTTGAAATGAATCTTCTACTATCTACATGACCAAAAATTATATTTAATTTAAAATTTTTTAATTATATGGTTTAAAAATTTTAATAATATCATACAAATTTAAAATGTAATTCATGAATTTGAATACTATAATTGGGTTAATTCATCCATACATGATTATTAATAACTTTATTATTATTGTTTTGTGTAAACTTATTTGTTGAATTACTACAGACATTTTAATATAAATTAATAGTATTTAATATATTCAATATTTTAACTTAGAATACAATTGCCTATTTATTATATATTTAACAATACAAAATTTTTAATTTGCTCTGTTGGCCAACATTTATTTTAAACAAAATTTATGAAATTTCATTAATCTTTTAGCTATAATAAATAATGGAAGGCAGAGAGGAGATAACCAATTTTATTTTATTAAAATAAAATAAAACTGGTTATATTCAATTTATTATACTAATATCATTGTCTACTATACTGATATCTGTATACTATTATCATTATTATAATATTATAAACATTTTATTTATTATAAGATTAACATATACAATATTAAATCTTACCATTTTGTTTATGGATGGGGTTGTATCCACTTTAAATGATTTCATATTATTCAATGTTTGATATTGAAGAAAGGAATCTACAGTAATAAAAAAATAATTTCTAAATAAAATACAATTTTAACTATAATAATTAATAAGATCACAATAAATTAATGATTATATTAATTTATAGTGCTACTAATTATAAAAGATTAAATTCAATAAAGATTAGTTAGAGGTAGGTAGAACAATTCAAAGCTCAAAAATTGAAAAACCTTCAAATTTGTTTCAGGTTTGATACTTTAATATGAGTTCCAAATATCAAACTAAAACTAAAAGAATAGGATTTTTTTTAATTTTAGTATACATTCCGATCCAAACTTATGTTCAAACTAGAACATTTTTAATTACATTGTAAATAAAATAACACAAATATTTAAAAATCTGTAAAATAGTTAAGTAGGTACCAATTATAGTTAGATATTTTTAAAGTAGACAAAACAGTATATTAAATTGCAGTTTGATTTGGTTTGATATTTTAACAAATAGTTGCTTCAATCATTTGATAAAAATAAGAATAAAAATTGAGCTAGTCTAGGGTTACCATATTCATGGACGTATTTTAGGGGGGCGAATGCCCCCCTTGAATCCGCATTTAAGGAATCGATTATATGTGAGATACACATTTCAAATTTTTTAATGTGGATCATTTTATAACGAAATCAAATTACGCGTGACTGTGAATACTGAATTGGGCTTTTTTTCGGGTCCATACTTAGTGAAAAATCAAATAAATCACAAGCGTAACTTTCAAAACACATGTGTTAAAAAAGAACTACACAAAAGTTGATTCTAAGTTGAACCGGCATTAAATTATAAAAAAAAAACCATAAATATTAAGGATTAACCTAATCTAAATATAACCAACAATTTTACTTGTAAATTTTGGGCCTGAATTAAAGAAAAAATTTGATTCCCCTCCCCTAGGAGTAAGTCTATATACGCCCCTGACCATATTTTGTCATGTTTTACATGTAAAAATACATTGATGGCCATACTTTTCAGAAGATTTTGCTTTTTTCAACAGTTCTTTGTTCCTTAAACATGTCTGTAGAACTCTGAGCAAGTCATGTTGACTTGACACTGTAAAATCGATTCCATAGTCTCTAGGAGAAGCCAATTTCGTTCATCTGGGCTAATATTAATGAACAAACTCTTAGCGTACGTTTAGTCATATAAGTTTAAAAATATATTTTTTTATTTTCGATCTCATATTCGTATAAAGTAAAAAAAAATTGAGAAATTTGCAATAAGCAGTTTAATTCGAGAGATTTTAGTCGGGACAGATAGCTTAATAACAGTGACAGTCCTGATATATTGGAACGGATGGCAATCCTAGTCTAGTCAGATACCATAAATATGAATTTAATCTATGTCTACTATTAATAATAAAAAGTTTACTTTACCATCATATTCTATATATTGCATTCTCTTCGCGCTGACCTAAATCATATATATAATTAAAATAAATATTTCTATATTTAAAATAATATATTTTTTTTAAAACTAAACAACATAATTAATTTTTATTCACTTTTCATAAAATGATTATAGGTAGTTATTAAAATTACATTTTTAAAATAGTTATTTAATTTCACAATAGACTAACTAGGCACTCATTAAATTAATTATTTAAATTTAAGTGAATTATTACCTGATCACGAGGAACATTTTTCTTGAACACTTCCTATAAAATAATAATAAATAAATGTTCTGTATTATTAATAACACAGTGAATTTTACTAATGCCATCACTGGTTTATAGAACCACCCGTTTATTAGAATCAAAAAAACAAAAATAATCCAAAACCAAATCTCATATTACTATTTTAAGGTGCGATCCCATGGCGCGTCCTTTTCCGACGATTGTCGGTATCTGTGACACGCGCCAAAAGAAATTGGAGAGGCTCGTAGTAAAATACTCTCGGGAAACGCGCTGTGGGACAGCACCTTTAAATTGACCTTTCATTAGGAGCACAATGTACCAGATAAATAAGTCACTTTTATAAACATTTTTATTGTTTTTTTTTGATATTTCAAACGGATTGACATTTAAAAATAATTTTATTTTTGAACTAATCAATGTGAAAATGTAATGTTGTACCGCATTAATCAGAAAAATGATTGTTTTCAAAAAAATATGCAGATAAAAAGCAGATTTTAAAGCTGCAAAAGTTACTTAAAGGATTTTATTGCATTGTCTAAATGTGCATCTAATGACATTTATAACGGAAACGGAACTGGTTTATATTATCGAGCTATTTCAGATTCTACTTTTGATTTTGTAGGGCAGCGGTTCTCAACCTTTTTTGTAGACCGACATCTAAATTAAGATCCATAAAAATGGCGACACACTTGAAACGATTGATGGATTTATTAAATAAATAATTTCCAATTATTGGAATCAATATTATATTATGTTCAAATCTATGTAAAAGCATTAAAAGTCTAGCTAATATGGTAAATGAATACATATTATTCAATATATCCATTAATATTCATAGTAATTTATTAATTTCATAATATTGAAAATACGCACCTGCAAATTAGATGGATCAGCATGTAATATATCAGAAAGTTTTAATGGTTTTTTATTGTAATTTAATTGATGGTCTGTAGTTGTTTCTTTTTCTGAAGAATTTTCTACAAAAAAAATTTAACATATATAATTTATAATTAAATTGTATTAAAAGGATTTTATATTACTAAAATATATTAATAAAATATAAATAAAAAGTTAGTTAATTAATCATGTACAATTTGAATACTCATAAATTAATATATAAATAAATATACAATTAGTTTATGTATAGAAATCAATAAATAAAAGCTTAGTCTGTAGTATTATTATATTTGTAAAGTATGATTGGTTTCCAATTAAAAATGTATCATCAGGTATAAACAAAATCAATAAAATCGTGATTGAATATGAAAAAAGATGAGTCACCATTTTATTTTTTAATATCATTATTATTGTTTTATATTTGTTTATTTATATATTAAAATATATTAAAATATGTTTTCTAATACAAATTTTTCTCTTGCTCATTACACGCATTTTGTAATAAAAAAAATAAATAAAAATATTACATATTAGGAGGTATGCAAATTTAAATAATTATAAAAAAATCTAAGTTCATAGTTATAACTCAGAAAATGTTGAACTACTTAAATGGTTAGCTCTAAATTGATTGATAAATGGTGCCATTATAAATTATTTATACATTTAAAAAATATTTCTGAGCAAAGACAGTTACTGTAGCTCTATAGTTGTAAATATTTGTTAAAATAATTTATATATTTAAATATATAAATGGAGCCAAAAATGTATAAAAATTCATCAATTGAGAACGGCTAACTGATTTGGCTCAATTTTTTTTTTTTTTAATAGTTCGTAATTGCCAGAACGTTTTTACGAAAAACATTGTTTGGAAAAACCCTTTTTTTTTAATTTTTTTTTTTAAACATTTTTTTGATGATTGATTTTTTGAATTCCTGAATATTTTTTCGAATTGAAAAAGCTACAGCAAGCTTTAGTTTATAAAATTGTCCATAAGAGATAATTAATCGTTAAAATGGGGCCCCCGGCCAACACTAAAAAAAAATGGATCAAAATGGAGAGTGAGTCACAGTGTTTGTTACCATTTTTCTCCAAAACGGCTTAACCAATTTTAATGAAATTTTGTACATAAATTTAGAAGGTCTGTGAATAGGTTTTTATATATTTTTTTTACTCTTAAGTGCTATTTTTTAATAAATCGTAGTTTAATTTAATAATTTTCGACTAGGTTTATAACTGCGCAATTAATTGAAAGTGATTTATTAAATTACAATATTAAAAAACTATTAAAAAACTATTAATAACTATTTAAAAATTATTAATAACTATTTAAAAACTATTAATTTTATTTTTGGTATTAAATGATGGGTATTGCATAAATATTAAACAAGATCCCGCAACAGGTGCCAAAACAAACAAGAATGTTAGTTCGAAGGATTAATATGCATATCGGTTGATGATTAGATATGATCAGGACAACGTTATTCTACGATGTCGTGAGCTTTGTCAACAATTCATGGTCGACATGCATGTAGGCGCGGATCCAGAGGGTGGGCTCTAGCCCACCCAAAATTTTTAAAAACAATAATTTTAATTTTGAATATTGGCATTAAAATTGATTTTATCAAATATATCATATAAAACGTATTAATCGTGCATGGTGAGTAACAAAACAACAACATATCTACCTTTTATAATAAGTTATTATTAATAACATGTAATTGTCCGTGTGATTAACGTGATTTTATCTAAATATCGATTGTCGTCGTTCGAACGCCAATGGAACCCCGATAAGATATAATAAGTATACGTAAAACTGGACCCTACCCGACCAGCAAATATTGTTAAATGACACACGTGTACTCGTAATATTATTCTGTCTGCTGTCAACTTCCAATAAGCGATACTTAAATCCACATTTTAACTAAACAATATAAATATTAAAATTTATTGGAAATCCATCCACGAATTGCTGACGTGCTGAGCACATACACCAAATAGGTAAGTTTTATTTTGTTTATTTAACTATTTATTAAGGCATACCTATTTATTTTATATTTAACAAAATGTGGAATTATTCAATATTGAATACTTACACGAAAACAAATACATTGTTGCGGACATACATGAATGTAGGTCCTTACGATTCTTACAGTACAAGCGGGACCACATAAATCATAAATAGTAGAGATCGCGGAATGAGTATTTATTATATTATATACATAATAATAGTATATATTATATACTATAAGTATATATTATATTATATATTATGAGTAATATAATATTCGCAATAATAGAAAGGAACTATTAGTTTAAAACAGAGGGTAACGCAAACACATATTATGAAGACAAATAGTATGTAATAAATATTAAAAACAACTATTATAGACGGGCATCAGTAGAACATATGCAAAATGCGGAATTCACGAGGTCAACTGATTACATAGACAATCTTGGGTTGGGCTCACAAAATACAAGTAGCATCAGCATCAATCCAGATTGACAAATGAAAAGTGATTTAGCATTCGCTAGATCCGGGTCAGCAATGAGAAGCGGGGTATATAAGGGAGTCCCGAATAGACCAATATTCAGATGTGGTTTACATGTACAGTCGCAAGCACCTTCACGCCATATTATTTCTCAAATTAATGTTTTGTACTTAGAAAAATTATTGAATAAACAGTTTAAATTACAATTGAGTATTTTTATTGAAGTTTTATCCTTAAAAACTTAACCATCAATTACGATTGAGCGACGGCACGCAACAACATATATGTACAGTATATATACGTAGTTTGTTATTGTAATAAATAGTTACTCACATATAAGAACAATTTACCACTCTTTATATCTGAGATTCTAAAATCCTGTTTTATTTTATTTATAAATACTTTTTTTATAGGCCATGAAACATTTTCTTGTTCCCCTTTTACAATCGGATCAATCTGTTATTGAATCTGTTACTTCCGAAAAAATTCGTAAATCTTCTACTTCAATAGGTGTCATTGATCGCGATGTTCAAAACAATATTTTCGATATTAGTCAAAACGTTGAAAAAGGGCCAAATCAACCCAACATTACGTTTCCAAGACGAAACATCGGCGGAAAACAGAGATCATTTAATATTTCGTGGTATTCAAAATACGAATGGCTAGAATATTCGAAAATGAGAGATTCATTAAATAAAATCATAATTTTACTGTATTTTCTTTTGTGGTTAAGTTTATGGGCCCGCCCAAAAAAATATTCCTGGATCCGCGCCTGCATGTATGTGAACATAGAGAGCGAACGATTACGATACTTGGGATTCAATCAAAAAAAACTGCGTGTGGAAGATTCTCAAAACAATTGGTAGATATCAGTGATGGGAAAGTTACTACAGATGAAACGGGCTGCATAAAACTACCGAACCTTTTCTGCACAATCATTGATTCGCAAGATGCTTTCATTGACCAGATATTTCCTAATGTACACAGACAATACACAAATCATGAGTGGCTGGCAGAAAGAGCAATTTTAGTAGCAAAAAATGTGGACATCAACGAATTGGATCTCAAGATACAACATTTGTTACCAGGAGACTTGGTGTCACATAAATCTATTGATACAGTTTGCGATGCTACTGAAGCTGTAAATTATCCAACAGAGTTTTTAAACTCATTGGATTTACCAGGCATGCCACCGCATAATTTGCAATTGAAAGTTTGATCTTCGGTTATTTTGCTTCGTAATTTGACCCCCACCACGGTTGTAAAACGGCACGCGATAAGTCGTTTAAAATTAATGAAAAATGTTATCGAAGCCATAATTTTAAATGGCAAATTCCGATGTGAAAATATTTTATTACCGCGAATCCCTATTATACCTACAAATGTGCCAATACAATTTAAACGCCTTCAATTTCCAATTAGATTGGCATTTGCAATGACTATCAATAAGTCTCAAGGCCAAACGATGTCTGTCTATGGCTTAGATTTGAACACATCATATTTTTCACACGGACAATTATACATGGCGTGCTCTCGAATCATTCAATTTGTATTGGCGAAAGATGGGATAACAAAAAATATTGTACACTCAGTTGCATTAAGGAATAGATATTATTTTTTACTAATATTGTCATAATTAGCTTTATATATAATTTTAATGGATCAATTTTAATAAAGTATTAAAAAAATAAATGTTTGATGTTTTTTCATTTTTATATTTCGTCACCATTCACAGCACTCCATACCTCTTTCACTTATATACCACATCCTTACACACCTAAATTAAATTAGTAATTTTTTTCTAATAAAATATTCTCTAGAAATAATTTATATGAAAAAACAACGTTTGTCGGATCAGCTAGTTGTTTATGGTTTTTAATACATTATAAATTTTAAATCCTTTAAAAATAAATGTGCTTAATTAATATTATGATTTCTTAGAACTAAGCAAACTTAGCCTTGCATACATAGGCGTCATGAGAGGAGTGCAAGAGGGTGCACTTGGACCCCCTATATTTAAAAAAAATAATAATAAAATGTAATAATGTAAGATGCTCAATTAGAACATTTATACAAAAAGGAAAATATTTTATTAAAAGTATAAGAATGCAATGGGCCAGACATGCGTGGCGAGCAGACGGATGCCTAATAAAAGGAGTAATGACTTAGACGTTAGCAGGGAGGAGACCAAGGGGAAGACCACGAAGAAGACGGATAGGCAGTATAAATGAGATATGGAATGCGGCAGCCCATGGTGGGGGGATTGGCGAGTAATAGCATATGATAGAGAGAAATGGGAGGAGGTATTTTTAGCGGTAAAGATCCTTGATGGATCGTAAACCCGGAAAAAAAATGTAGGATATAGGTTATTTTTATTATTATCAGATTTTCTAGTAGCCTGAATTACTTTATAGCCATAAAATAAAACAAAAATAATTTTGTATTGGAATAAAATTTAAAAAAATATTCCTACATATTAAACTTAAATAATTTAAGCATTATTTAGATATCAGCATATATACTATGTATGATGCACCCCCTGACAGAATTCTGACAGAGCCTATACTTACATATGATTTTAAAACCATATAATACAAAATTATTAATTTTATAATAAAAAAATAAATATAAACATTCTTGAGATGAAAATTAATATTTATAACTACTTTGTTTTCTGATTTTAATAGTTTTTTAATAATAATAATTTTCTAATATTTAAATTATAAAAATTTATTTAAATTTAAATCAAATTTTCTCTAATAATTCTTATTAATTAATTCTTACTCTGTATTAAAATAGCTTTGAGAGGTAATGCTTTGCTATTAATTACAGTTTTCAATCCTTTTATACAGATTCCATTTTTATGCACATGCTTCACAACTGGAATATTTCCTTCATACTGAGAACTTATAGGTTGTTTCAATAATGTCTTAGGGTCAGATTTCATAACATCATACATAGTTGGTGAATAATGCTCTATAGAATCAAAAAAATTAATTGCAGAGATAAATCATTCTTTTTTCTCAATTATTTAAAAAATTAAAAATATAGTTTTTAATAGTATACCTGATTTTAAGTTGTTATCTAAGTATACATCATATTCTTTATGGTTTGTTAATTTTTTAGATATTTTAGATGACATATTTGAAGTTGTAGATGAAACCACTGTTATACAACTTGGTACTGATGCTATTACAGTTATAGGGCTTGATAATGATGATAAAACATTAATAGTACTGGATAATACTATAGTTGTAGAACTATGTACTGATGGTATTGCATCCATAGAACATGATGGTGAACCTAATTCTTCTTGATTTATATTAACAGAAGTATCACCAAGTGAATCAATCAACATTTGACTAGTTAATGATGATTCAACATCAGAGTTTATCTCAGAAATAAATGAACTTTCTTTTGTTGATAACATTTTATCATGATCTACTGCTATATCAAACGATGTTATTGGACTTTTTAATGTTGATGAATCAGCAAATTTTGTGTTGATTAATAATGATTCAGTTATATGAAAATTTGACTTCTTATCTAACATTTTTAATTCAGAAATTGGTATCTTATATCTTCTCAGATCAATATCAAACTTATCTATAAAATTAAACATGTTTTTTACATAGAGTTGTAATTTTTCTTAAATCAACTCAAAAATTAACAAATATAAAAATTATTTTTAACTATTCTATTTTATACATGAATTTTATCCATTTACAAAAAAATTATATTTTTAATCATTCAATAATTAAAAAACACATCCATTAAAGAATTTTCAAAAACTATATATATATCATAACATATCAAGAAACCTTAAATTATTTAGTATTATACATTATATTTACGCTTTAAAAAATCTAACCACATTCTCAGAGACACACATCATCATAAACCTCAAAATTATGGAAAAATAGAACAAAAATTTGAATAATGTTCAACTTTCAAATAAATTTGGGAACCCATTAAACCCTCCTTTGAAAAATGAACTTTCCCCTCAAATCTTAAGAGAAGAGAAGAAGTTATTTTAACTCAGACCAGAATAGGATACACTAATTTAACACACTTCTTCCTCATCATCAAAGAACCAGCTCTAACTTATGATAAAGGTATGCAAGTGCCTGAAATAAGCCTAAGTACAAAAAATCTTCACCAACTCAACCTCTCTCAAGTGATCACTTAACGTAGAAAACACAGAAGTTCCCACAATAAATATATATTGTACCTCTATTTTTCTTATGAGGGTGTCTCATAACCACTCGTTTTGTATTATATACAAGCTTATAACCTTTGATGTTAAAATCTTAAAAAATATTTATATATATTATATTAGTAAATATAAATATTTGAAATAAAATTTTTTATTTTGGAAAACTCAAATAATTCAAAATAAGTTGCTGGTATATATATATCAATTCAGGAGCATATATTCAAGATATTGCGCTTGGAGTACAGACATTCCCAATTAAGACTGAAAATAATTAATTAACATATAATTTTATGATGAAAATTGATTAAAATATTTATTTGGGCTTAATAATCTAAATATTTTTTATCTAATCTACTTGAAATGATTTTTGTAAAAACAGACGAAACCATACAAAATTATTTTTTATTTTTATCAATTATCGAAAAGTTTATTTTATCAATAAGAATTTTATACCATAAGTAATTTTTTTTTGACAGAAAAATAGCGGTGATTATATACAAAATGTTAAAAATTAAAAATTAACTTACTTATATCTGTATTTGAATTTCTTGTTAAATTGTTAGCGTCCCTAAAATGAATAGTATGATCCATCTATAAAAATATATTATCTGTTAATATTATTATTAAATTAAAGTCATACTAATTTAACAATATAAGATTGAGAGACTCTAATATGAACAATAATATATATTAGTGGGCTTAATGTTGAATACAATTACTATTTTGAAGTATGGATATTGATTTATAAGCATATATTTCTTATTTTTGTTAAAAATGTATCTTTCCTTATGTATTTGCCTACAATTATTTTCATCCAAATTTTTTAAATATTGTTAGATACTACTAAACACAATTGTTAACCGAGTTGAGTAACCATATGCAAACAAATATTACTTTTAAAGTTACAACTACTTTTAATTTGAGTAATTTAAATTGTATTTCCTTCTATAAAACCCTGATTGGTTACAGTGGCAATTTTTTAATTTTTTCTGAGGAGGGGTCATTTTACATTATCTTATAATATATGAAGACAAAAAATGTTTAACCCATTAAGGAAAATATAAATACCCAAATAGGCAATAGCTGTAACAAACATTCAAATATATGGACATACGGTTGAAATCACCAGATTTATATACAACCATATAAATGTACGTACAAACATATATTCACATATAAAATAAAATATAACAAAACCTAATTACATGATCTGGGGGGGTCCAGACCTTCTGAACCACTCCCTAAAACAGCCACTGATTGGATAGAATAATAATTTAAATAATTTATAAATGGATAATATTTAAATTTTAAGTAAAACAAGGAATGTTTAGATTCTACTACGCTTTTTTGTCTGTACACCCAATTTTGATCAGAAGAATTATTCTGATCGTGACGATTGAGATAATCAAAAAGAGATTTCCGATAGACATAGATAATGTTGTCTAGTTGATTACTTTAGTGGTAGGTAATTTGAAGAAAGTAATTTTATGAATTTTTCAACATTTTTTTTTTTTAATAATTGTGAAAAACTGTAGAAGTTATAGAAAAAAAGGCAAAAATTATGGCATATCGGTTTTCGACAAACTTGATTTTTGTTTTCATCATAACTCAAAATAATAATCATAGAGACTTAACATTTTTACTGAATGTTTACATCACTGTTAGTTATAGATATTATAATTTTCAAGATTATTTTAAACAATTTATAGATAGTAGAAAATATCATGTTTTCTTAGACTTTATTTCAAAATGTTGACATAAAATAGTTTTTGTTTGACAAAAAGTTTTAAAATTATCCCATAAAGTTCCAACTGTACCAGAAGTCTTAAAAAATATAAGCTAATTCATCTGACCTATTTCACTTAGAATTGTTTTTCGAGAACAATGATACAAGTACTTAAAAGACCAATACAGAAATATTTATCCATACATATACCTCACCCGACCTATGAGTTTTGTGTCTTCTTTTTTTTCTACACAAAAATTAACAATATTATTGATATTATATATATTTTATAAATTTTACCTGTTTGCTAGCTATTGAATTTATTTCAGTATTTTGAGTATCACCAGACAACTTATTAATTGGCATAATAGGAGATTCTATTTCATTACATTCAATTACATTAGATTGACTTTCAGACTTATTTTTTAACAACTCATTTATCAACTAAAATTAAAATACAATTAATATTTTGAGAATAAGTATATTTTCATTTAAGATAAAATCATAGATCAATTAATAAATTAATACCTGACTCATATCTGCATAATTAGGATCATAAATGTTGTTATCAAACAATGCTGGAATACACGTAACAGATCGAGCAGATGATTTTTCATCACATTTATACCTTCGAATTACTTCAATATCAGGACTTAATTTTTGATGAATAACACTTAATATCTGCATGATATAAGTTTTTATTTCATTTGTTTCAAGATTAATTTTAAATCTGTAACCAAAACATATTTAAACTTTTATAATCTTAGGGTAACTATTATGATTTACTTACCTTATGTTAGTTATAGATCTAAATTTTGAATTAAAGTATAATAATATAGAAAATTCTGGATTTAATGAACTAATAATAACATATAATTTAAAAATATTAAATGATTGTGATGGTAAACGATAGTCAAACTTCCATAAAATATAATAAACGTTGTCATTTGCATTATCCTTAATAACAAATTTTATAAGATAAATAGTTGTATTAAAAATATATTACAGTCAAATATATGTTCAACTAACCATCAAATCTGAAGATATTTGTGATTCATTTGTTGACTCAGATTTGTTGTAATCATCAACCAAATCCGTTTCCGTATTTAATTTTGAAGAAAAATATTTTCTTTTAAGTGGATTAAATTCTAATTTACGAGCACTTAATAATAAATGTTGTAAATTAACTGCTGCTCCAGTAGCAGGTAATACACCTCCACACATTACTGAGTAATTTAATAATAAAATTTTACTTTCCAGCTTTAATTTACTTTCATATGTCCAATCTCTATCTTTAAATAGTTCCATTATATTCTTTGTATCTTTTAAAACCGACTGAAATAAAATAAATTAGAAATTAAAGTTCAGAAAATATTTTACATTTAATTATTATTAACCTACACACACATGCAAATTGATTTGAAGTGGAACAAAAATTATAGGTTAAGTATTAAAACTGGTGTCAGTATAATTAAAATATTAAATAATATATATAAAACTGCGATAATTTTAAATTCAGTAATAATATTTTAATATTCTAAATACTAATGGTATCTATGGGTTTTATAAATGAAAATAAATATCAAAAATATTCTCGTCTTATGAGGAGACGCTTTCAGAATTAATTATTCATAACTCATCATCATCATCAGTTTTTAAAGGCAATGTTATTGTAGCCAATCATGTCTGTCATACGAGTATACCATCTTCTTGAGACTTTAGTAAGAGGTACTACCCATTCGTCGGAAGATTTCTTCAAAGAAAGACTTACGTGGTCTTTCTCTGGATCTTTTACCCTCTATTTTTCCTTCCATAATGATAATGATGAACAAATTGTGTCTTAGTAGATGTTCAATTAGCTTTATATTTATTTACAATATTGTGTTCACTGTTCTTTCTTCATTTATTTCGTTCAGCACTACTTCATTCGTCTTATGTTCTGTCAAGGTTGTTTCAATAATTTTCCTCTACATCTACATCTCCATAGCTTCCAGTCTATCTTTTTTATACTTTCCTATCATCCACGATTCACAACCATATAGTAATATACTCTAAACGTATGCTTTTACTAATTTATTTCTTGAGCGCATACTTAGATGTTTATTAGTAAATGTCCGTTTTTTTTCGAATGCTTTTTTAGCTAATGTAATTCATGTTCTTATATCTTTCGCAGATTGATTGTCATCTGTTATCAAGCTAATCTAAGTAGCAGAATTCGTTTACTTGTTGTAACTGTTCATTGTTAAGCGTTTGTATTTGTTATAACTTTACTTATAACCATAACTTTTGTTTTTTTGGAGTTAATTTTTAGTTTGAACTTATCTAGAGACGAGTCAAGTATATGAAGCATCAAACTCAATTCTTCCTCGCTGTCAGCTAAGAGAGCTATATCATCTGCAAAGCGAATGGAGTGAAACAGTTTCCCATTTATCGATATTGCTCTGGAGTGATCATTCATTTCATATATTACATGTCCAATAAATAAATTAAATAAATTGCAGACAAAAGGCAACCTTGCCCTACTCCTAGATGAATTTTCGCTTCTCTCTTGCTTCTATTTACATCTATTTCAGTGGTGTAACGAACACCATTTATGGAAACATAGATGGCGTTTGTTACTACAATTACGCCGCACGGAATAACAACGGAACCACACTATTCCCAAGATATTGCCAACAAAGAGCGTTATGCAGCACTCGTATTACAAAAATGTTATTAAGGATTAATATTAATTCAATTAATGGTTAATTATCACCATAAAATTGATAATTAATAATCGTAACACCACCAGTAACCAGTAGATCAGTCAGAGACAACAACAGGGTATATGAATACCGATCATCAATAATATTAAGTATTAAATACACCAGGACCCGGGATCCGCTAATACCGTCAATATACGTTGATGATTTATATATACCCATCGGACACACCAGGTAAACATTAGTTCCGGGGCATTCAGCTATAACATTACACAGACATCTGGGCACAAATCTTACGGCTTTTAGTCTAAGGATTGTGACAAGCTCCGTTAGGAAAAAAATTTAGCTGTATTCTTCGGTGCGTCAATCATTGATCGTTGTATCATCAACGCGTGTTACATATCTCACGTCGTCATTCGTGTTATCAGTTGCATCAGTGTTCCTTGGCCATTAGGTTAGAGCGTTAATTAACATTGGTCGGCCGTGACATTCAGTGCCGTCGCTGGTTACGATTTCTGAATGGAACGATTCCGAACGGACCTTATCTCGTATCACGATTATGTACGTTTTTACCTGCCATTTTTCGTGCGGCGTTGCTAGATTCATTGAACTGTCAATTATATTTATGTTTATATATATAAATGACTATCTGCTATTACGCCGGACGATAAGATAGGTGGATTACTAATATATTATTTATCTATAATAGGTATATCTATATTGGCATAAACTTTGACAATAATAAATTCTATTAAAAATAATGTTCATAATCCTATAGCCAAAAAGATAAATCTATGATTAAATCAACAATAAGAAATTACAATGATTATAAAGTCCATAAAAATCTTGTTTTATATTTACAAAAAACTGGAAATTTCTATCAAGGAAAAAATTTAAATAAAAAAGAAAAATGTAGAAAAATTATTTTAAACATTATTATTATTTAAAACTTTACTTTTTTCAATTTATTTTACATTATCTATTATTTTTATCATTTTATTTCAATTTGTAACGTAGTTATAATGTAACATTTTATTATTCATAACATATTGAATAGTTTTTACTTAAAAAAAAAATATATTTTTAATTTAATTCCCGAACAAAATAAAACATAATATTTTGAAATTATAAACTTGGCAACGTAATCTAAAAAAACTTTCGCAATCGTTCGGTTTTCGAAAAAAAAAAAAATCATTGATAAGCGGCATTCGTTCGCAATCGTGTTATAAAAAAGGTGTAACGTTCGCAATCGTGTTGTACCCCTGCCGCTACCGCATCCGAGTGCCTCATGCCACAGGAATATTATCAATCCGTATGTGATATTGTATCCATCAGTGCCGCCGCCACCGAAACCGAGTGCGCCGTGACGAATGTTTTTATCAATTCATACGTGACGTAGTTTTGTCAGTGTCGCTGCCACCGAACCCGAGTGAGCCGTGCCACCTGATTCATTGTGAAGACCATCAAACAACCAGTGGTAATAAGCCTTGTGTTAATTGGTACATCAGTGAGTACAGACACCAATATTTTAATTGTGAATGGGATTTTCGTGTAGTGTAATTCCTCCACGATATTCTGTTTATATTCTTTATTCTATAGTCAACATTTGCCGTGTCAAATACTGACACTATAAATTATTATTACATGTGATATACTAAAATTAAAAACTTTGTAAATGATATTAATAAACGAAAATAATTATTACTATACATTATATTTCATCATTTGTAGTCAATACAACTACAAATTGGCACCCAACTCACTAAAAAAAATTGTAAATTGATGCACGTGTAGGGTGCGCATTACAGTGGTTTGACTTTTGTACAAGTTCAATATTAATCTTTTCAATCAATTCCGGCTTCCCTTAGAGCAGCGGTTCTGAACCTTTTTGAGTTCACAACCCCCTAAAATGTCACAAATATATCTAACGACCTTTTTGTAATGTAAGCATTGAAAAATTTTACAAACTGTTATTATTTGTTATTATTATTATTTGTGTACACATTTTACAAAAAAAAGTATATTATAAAAGCCGATTGACGTTAATTAATAGAAAAAAAATTAAATTGAATAATAAAATTATCTAAATTTTAATATTTTATAAATTTAATGACTATTGCTGTTGTTGATTTTAAATAATTTTTTTTTCACATGATGCGACCCTAAAAAAATTTTTGGTGACCTCTTGGTTGACAATCACTGCCTTAGAGTATTAAATATGAGTTTCCAGTCTACGTTGTCGAATGATTTTTCCAAGTTTATGAATGTTATAAACGTTGCTCTGTTTAGTCAAATCTCCTTTCCATTAGCTGTCTCAAAGCTATGATAGCTTCTCACGTTCCTTTACCCTTCCTAAAACCAAACTGGACATTGTAAAGTCGTTCTTCCACTTTGTGTTTCAATCTGTTATTTATAATGTTCAGAATTATCTTTGACGAGTGAGATAAGTAGCGATAGTTCTGTATTTTGAGCAATCAGTAGCATTCCTTTTGTTGGGTAGAATGATAGTTTTACTTTTTATGAAATCTTCCGGAATTGAGTGTTCCTCATATCATTTATTAAAGTTATTTCTTTCATTCACAACTGGGGCAAATATTTACATGCAAATATATATTTTTCTGTGACTTGATAAATTAATTAAGGTAAGTGATAAATTTATTTCAAGGGATTTCCAATGAAATTAATTATATTTTATTTTCACTTATTTTTTCATATTTCTCAATAATCCATTTTTCCCTACATATTTAAACAATTTGTTAGTATACGATTAGTTATATATGATTGTATTTCTCAAACGTGTTTTCTTATTGGTATTATCTGTATTATGGTGTATGGGTTTGAGTGGCATGACTTCGATAAACGATTGATTTTTCGAAGTACCTACAGCGAGTCAGTATGATCAGTAACCTAACCATGCCGAAAATACGATCATTTAATACATCCAATTCTATCAAAAGTATTCTCACTGGTCGTTCTTTTGAAGTTTCAATGAATCTAGATTCTAAAACTTACTCTTTCAGACATAATCAAAATGCAATACTGTCAGTACTGCAATAACATCAGTGGAAGTCAAAATATTAGATTAGATTTATTCGGTGTAATAAAAAATAAAAATAAATAAAGGCAGTTTTACGACCAAATCGAAGAACTTTTGAATTTGAAAATTTAAAAATGCATGTTATCATAAATTGTAATCAAGATAATTAATATTTTTTTAGCTTTGTTCATTAATATTTTATAAATTTTAATACCTTTTTTTTAATAATTTTACTATTTAAAATATAATTTGTTTCATTAGGAACTCATATGGATATATTATTCAATATTAATACATAAATCATATTAGTAAAGTACATATTTATATATATATATACTTTGATTTCATAAATACATATAAATCATATTATTCATAACTATACATAAAATTGACATTGTCCAATTAATTTTATCATAATTTATAATGCTTATAATTTCATAAGCCCTGAATTGCATATATTTCTTATACTTGTGTTACTCACAATCAAGGGATAGATAAGATATTTTTACTGTTTCAACAATCAAAACTATATCTTATAGTTTTACAGAATACGATCACAATATTATTTAATTAGCATAAGTATTTACGTCAAAAAATAATGAAATAATAAATTATTAGAAGTTTTCCATAAACTATTATAAAAAATTATACATCTGTAATTCAAAAACCTTACCTCATTACAAGGACGCAATAAAATTCGACCTATCTGATCCAAAGTACCATTTCGTAAATCATGAACTTCTGCTATAACGCATCCACTATAAAATAAATTTGGTTCAGCTTCATTTAATGAGTCCAGTAATTGTGGTGGTAATTTTTCATTTTCTATAAAACTTAATAATATTTCATCTTTCTTATAACAGTAAAAAGTTTCAACTGGTAGTTCATTTTTATTTTTAGTTATTTTTGTTGAAAATCCAATATCTACACAATACAATGTAATTACTAGTGCATTAGGTTTAAATTCTAAAGGATCATCATATAAAGCATCCAATAAACCTGATGGAACAAGACACTAAAATAATAATAATAAAAACAAATTTAAAATTATGATGATATTTTTAGTGAAAATACGTAAATTTTTTTTTACTTACATTATAAGGCCATGTATTAGAATCAACAAATTCGAGAATTTTTTTTCTATGTATAGAATATAATTTTTCAAATAAATTAAAAGGTTCTGTCGTTGAAGGTTGATTTCGAGTATCTGTTTCAATTTCTAATGGAATATAAATATTATCCTCAAATACTGGTTTTAATTCATCGATATCACATTGTAATTTAATAACATCTTTGAGAATATCGGAATGATTAGGTAGATATACTTCTTCATCAATCTCTTCTGGAAAATCTTTATTATTTAGAATATCTTTAATTTCATTATCATCCATATTTTGTTGAAGTTTTTCAAATGTTTCAATCTGCATCAAATTTTCAACATCCATTTTAAAACGAGTCACATCCTCTTTAATTTGATAATATTCTTGGTATTCCTCATCAAACATATCAGCCATATGATCATTATGCTCTTGAATAGCATTTTCTCCTCTATTAGGATCTAATTTTGGTTTTTCATCAATTTTTTTTCTACCATAATTTTTTTTTTTTTTTTGATATTTTAATTTTCCATTGAAATTGTGTTCGTCATTAATTAGTTTTGCTATTCTAAGTAGCATATCTTTACGTCTTGATAGGTTTTCAACAGAATTAAATTCTTCTTTATCTGTAGATGAAGATTCATCTGTAGACGAAGATTTATCTATAGATGAAGATTCTTCCGAGGATAAAGATTCTTTAGTTGATGAAGATTCTTCATTATTAGGACTGAAATTGGTTATTGAAGGAATAGATTCTGATATATAGTCTTCGATTATTTCTGTAACTTCATTTTCGTCTACTATTCCTAACATTTCACTTTCTTCTTCAGATTCTTCATCATATTGTAGTGGTTCTTCGTCGTACATAAGTGATATTTCTTCCTCAGAATCATCAATACAAATATCAAAATCTTCTTCAGTCTCTAGTTTTGTTTCTTCTTCCGAATCCCTAACACATAGAAAAGAATCTTTTGTATCTTCTACTTGTATTTCTTCAAGCAAATTATTTTCATCTTCTAGTTGTATTTCTTCTTCTGAATTGTTAATGTATACAACAGGCTCATCTTGTACTTTACTTTCATAATTTTGAAAATTATTAACTACATCCATTTTCTCTTCGACATTTTGCTGAATTTCTTTCATTGTTTTATATGCTTTGGATTTTATATTTAATTCTTCTTCAAAATGTTGTCTTATTTCATCAGACTCTTCATTGATTATATCTTTTGTTTCCACGCCAAACTGAACAGGAAATTCTGCTTTAATCAAATTAGTCTTACAATCATTACATTTCTGAGTTAAATCGTCTACTATTTCTTTCACTTTATTCTCAAATTGTAATTGACCATTTTTTTTTTCTTGAGCATTTTTTAGTATGTCTAGGTAATTTTCCATTGACTTTTTAAAATAACCTATATTTGATATTTTTACCACCTCTTGTAACTGTCCATCATTTGTTCGCTGATTAACTCTTTCAAAATCTACTAATACATAACAATAATCACCATTTTTTCCTTTGAATATTTTTTCATCAGGAAAATGTAATGGACTATTTGTCATTTTTACGTTTGTCTGTAGTTTTTCATTAGTTCCTTGTCTTTCTCTAAGAATTCTTTTTATTTCCTGGTAAAATTTACAATTTCCATCACAAACTTGCTCTTCGTTTATATTAACCTCATGCTGTATTTCATTGGCAACTTGTATTTCTTCATTTAATTTTTGTTGGTTTACTCTGTTCACATCTATATTTACTTCATCATCACATGTATGCAGTATTTTTTCATTGAAATTTTCATATATATTGCCAAAATCCTGAAATATGTCTGTTTCGTGTTCTGTTGATTTTTCAAAAGATAGAAATATTTCCGGAGGAAATAACTGATATACTTGTTCTAATTTTTTTAAGAATGGGGCTTCTTGATTTTTAAATAGTAAATTAAGATCTATAAGAAATTTTTCTAGAACTACTGGGCTGTTGGTTTTATCAAGTGTCATATTTATTTCTTTTAGTACTTCGTCCTCATATTTTTGTACTGACTCGTCAATTTTTATTTTTAATTCTTCAATTTTTTGTTTTATTACATTTATTGATTCTATTAAATTTGGTTGTATTTCTTCTTGTTGATCATCACTCATAAGTTTCTCAATCTCTTGCACAATTTCTCCATGAAATGTTTCTATATCTGTTTCTATATCTTGGTCTTGAATTTTTTTTTTTGCTCTAGCCTCTTGTCCTAAAATAATTTTGTGATCATATAAAGCTTTTTCTACTTCTAAAAGTATTTCTTTATCCACTTGTTCTTGTGAAATGTTATTAGATTCTAAATGGTCTTCTTTGGTATTTTTTTTTAATTCACTGTTTGTTACAGATTGTAAATCACATTCAAAATGTTGCCCTATTATTGTTGTATGATTCTTATTTTCATCATTAGATTCTACTTGAATATTTTTATCAACTGGAGGTGTATTTTCATAAAATGTATGTTTCTTATTTTCATCCAACCCTTCAAGTTTATCATCTACATACTCATTTACTTTTTTTTCATCAATATTTTGTTGCTTTTCTGACTTCTTAAGTACATTTTTATCCAATTCTTCAATTTCCATGTTTGTTTCTTGATCTGTCTTAGATATAAGTTGTTTTTTTTTATCAATTTCTTTTTGAACTATAATATCAAGTTGCGGTTGATTTTTTGATTTTGGTTTTACTTCAATGTTTAATTCAATTTTTATAGATCTGCCTGGTATTACTTGTTTTTCTATATCTAACTCTTCTTGTACTTCTCTATCAAGTTCTTGTTGAAGTTCTGAATTATCAACTTGTATCATTAACTGTACATCTGTTAAATTTTCAAATATTTGCTGATTTTCTATAAATTCTTTTTTAACAATAACATCTAATTTATTTTGAGATACTAGGTTAATTTTAATACCAATATTTAATCCTATTTCTGAATCTTTTTCAGTTTTTTGTTGTTTTTCTTGCACAATTCCATGAGATTCTTGTAAAAATGTTGGGTCAACTAGCATTTCAGTGTCTAATTTTTTGTATGATTCAGATTTTAGGTATATTTCATTATTAAATTCTTTTTTCACTTCAATAACAACTTCATTATTAAGTAGTACAACTTCTTCACATTCATTTACTACTTCTTTTTTAACCTCATATTTTTCTTTATTACCTTCATTTTGAACGTTTTTGTTTGATTCTGTTTGTATGTCATTATTCGACTTGGATGATTTTTTTCCTTCATCTTCATTTTTCATTTTATCTTTTAACTCTAGCTGTCTATTTCCTTCAATATCAATTTTTATTTTTTTAAATTTTTCTTGTATTTCAATAGATTCTTGTTCCATATTTTCTTCGATATCCATGGTTATTTCTGTTTGTATTTCATTTTTTACATTTTTAAGTCTTTTTTTATTAAGTATTCGACTTTTTTCTTCTTTTTCTATTTCTTCTCCACCTTTTTCTTCACCTTCTACACCTTCTACTTCTTCTACACCTTGTAATTCTTCTACTTCTTCTACACCTTTTACTTCTTCTACATCTTCTACTTCCTTTACATCTTTTACTTTATCTTCACCTTTTACTTCTTGGTATTGTTCAGATACTTCTTTGTCTAAGCCACATAGATATGAATGATCAATTTTTTTTTTTTCCAACTCTTCTTGTTTTTCACTAGATTCTTGTTGCATATTTTCTTCTATATCATTGGTCATTTCTGTTTGTATTTCATTTTTAAAATTTTTAACTCTTTCATTATAGAGTATTTGACTTTTTTCTTCTTTTTCCATTTCTTCTCCACCCTTTTCTTCGCCTTCTACATCTTTTACTTCTACTACTTCTCCTACACCTTTTAATTTTTCTTCACCTTCTACTTCTTGCTCTTGTTCAGATACTTCTTCGTCTAAACCACATACATATGAATGACCAATACTTAATAATACCTAAAACGAAAAATATAATTATAAAAGATCTAATTATTTATCAGATTAAATATTATACTTGTGCAATGCTCATTAGCTCATCATCTTCTGTGTTATTCATGATTAGCAGCACCTTTTAGAAAATTCTTAGAATTTAAACAGGTATCCTTTAATCTAATTGTTAACAAGTTAAAAAATTAAAAATTAATTAATTAGTTAAAAATAAGTGATTTTTTTTGTATAGTTATATTAGTATAAAATAAAAAGTTTAAAATTCTATCTACATAGTAAAATAATACAGTCCCACTAAATTTAGTAATATTATCCCTTAGTGTAAGCTACCTAAAATTAAAATAGAACATATTTCTTTATTTTTTTTTTTTGAGAAAAATATGGAAATAATTATCTCAGTAATAAAATAATCAGTTCAATATGAAATTCTCTGATTTGATATTGTAATCATTACAACGAGTATACCAATATTATATTAAATGACTACATAATGAAAAAATAGCCATTTTTGTTATATAGTGTGATGCGGTACCGTGATGTCGTAGGTACAATATGTACACCGACACCACGCACCGCGTTAGCTTCTCTCCAGCCACATCCCGGGTGGCGATAATATCACACCAACACTTTCCTACCTACCTCGGACACCGGGCAGAGGGGGAAAGGTTTTGATGCCGATAAGGTAGCGCACCAGCGGCCGGCAGGCGGTGTCTACGGACGAGGGCCCCATCTTACAACGGACACCGGTTTGGTCAACATAGACACACCGACTCTAACACCATCACCAGAGGACCACATTCCGTACCTGTTTTTGTTTTTGTTCGCATTGACAATTAAACTCGTGAAAAACATATTCAGTTTGGTTTCGTGGTTTTTCTTTTTTCTTTTTTTTCTTCTTTTTTTTTTTTTTCAAAAAAAAACGATCCATTTCATTCAACTCTGACCGGCCACCTCACCGGGGGAAAACCTACCACCGACTTGAGGTCGTGTCAAGTGTTAAAATATACCTAGTGCTTTAAAAAATAATTATTTTGGTAGTCTAAAATTTGTTGTCGGATAATTGCTTCTGTGTTTAAATATATATATAATCTATATTTATATAAAAATGGGACCAAAAATGTATAATATTTCATGAATTGAGAATGGCTGGGCCGATTTGGCTCAAATTTTTTAATTGTTCGTAATTGCCAGGAGAAGGTTTTTACGAAAAAATTTTTTAGAAAAGTGCTATTGTTTAATAAATCATAGTTTAATTTAATAATTTTTGACCCGGTCGATAACTGCGCAAATGAATTATTAAATAAAACTATTAATTTTATTTTTGGTATTAAATGATGGGTATTGCATAAATATTAAACAAAATCCCGCAACAGGTGTCAAAACAAACAAGAATGTTAGTTCGAAGGATTAATATGCATATCGGTTGATGATTAGATATGATCAGGACAACGTTATTCTACGATCTCGCGAGCTTTGTCAACAATTCATGGTCGACATGTATGTAAACATAGAGAGCGAACGATTACGATACTTGGGATTCAATCAAAAAAAGCTGCGTGTGGAAGATTCTCAAAACAATTGGTAGATATCAGTGATGGGAAAGTTACTACAGATGAAACGGGCTGCATAAAACTACCGAACCTTTTCTGCACATTCATTGATTCGCAAGATGCTTTCATTGACCAGATATTTCCTAATGTACACAGACAATACACAAATCATGAGTGGCTGGCAGAAAGAGCAATTTTAGTAGCAAAAAATGTGGACATCAACGAATTGAATCTCAAGATACAACATTTGTTACCAGGAGACTTGGTGTCACATAAATCTATTGATACAGTTTGCGATGCTACTGAAGCTGTAAATTATCCAACAGAGTTTTTAAACTCATTGGATTTACCAGGCATGCCACCGCATAATTTGCAATTGAAAGTTTGATCTTCGGTTATTTTGCTTCGTAATTTGACCCCCACCACGGTTGTAAAACGGCACGCGATAAGTCGTTTAAAATTAATGAAAAATGTTATCGAAGCCATAATTTTAAATGGCAAATTCCGATGTGAAAATATTTTATTACCGCGAATCCCTATTATACCTACAAATGTGCCAATACAATTTAAACGCCTTCAATTTCCAATTAGATTGGCATTTGCAATGACTATCAATAAGTCTCAAGGCCAAACGATGTCTGTCTATGGCTTAGATTTGAACACATCATATTTTTCACACGGACAATTATACATGGCGTGCTCTCGAATCATTCAATTTGTATTGGCGAAAGATGGGATAACAAAAAATATTGTACACTCAGTTGCATTAAGGAATAGATATTATTTTTTACTAATATTGTCATAATTAGCTTTATATATAATTTTAATGGATCAATTTTAATAAAGTATTAAAAAAATAAATGTTTGATGTTTTTTCATTTTTATACTTCGACAACGTTCACAGCACTCCATAACTCTTCCTTACATCCTTATCCTTATCCACATCCTTACATGCCTATATTAAATTAGTTATTTTTTTCTAGCAAAATATTTCGAAATAATTTATATGACAAAACAACGTTTGTCGGGTTAGCTAGTATATATATATGTACATTACAATAATACAAAAAAAAATAAAAAAAAAAGATTTTGAAACTTATTGTTGCGGAATAAAAATCTCATTGACAAAACAAAAGTCAAATGAAGACGTGTATAGTAAAATAAATTAAAGAAGGTCGATATGGACAACAGATTGAAAAGAAAAAAATTGATAGGACACTTCCTAAAAAATAATGAATGAGTAACATCTATAATTCAAGGAAAACCAGGAAAAGGAAGACCAAGACAGTCTTATACGAAGCAGATCATGTTAGACTTGGGTATAGGATCCTATAAATAATCAAAGGTAGTTGCTAAGGATAGGATAAGTGAAAAAACATTTCATTACTGAGCCAATCTATGGCCTATGAGCCAATCTACGAAATAAAAAACAATAATATGTATATACATATAAATAACATAGAAATATAAAGATAAGAAATGCCTGTTCTCTACCCCTTGTTGTATATTTCAAAATAACAATAAATAATGAAAAAGACAGACTATATTTACACCTCACCTAGAAAAAAGAAAACCACTTATCATGGATACAACGATATTTTTTTTTATTATAATTTTTAAAATAGATCCATAGATAAATAATATTTATATATTATGTATATATATATATATATATATATCTGTATATATAAAAATTTCGTGTCATGATGTATGTTCGCGATAATCTCCGAAACTACTGGACCGATTTTGATGAAATTTTTTACACCGTGTGTAATTTGGTCCAACTTAAAATATAGGATAGTTTTTTTTCAAATTTTTTAATATTTTAAATATTTTAATTAACTTTTTAATAAATGTGTATAATTGCATGGTGTATTTCGGGTTTTCCCATGACCGACCGCAAGTATCTATATAGCTACCTGTAATCTGACCTTTTTTTCTATTGTGTGTGTTTTATCGTCGTCGGCGTGTAGATATGAATTGTTCCGAGAATTATATAACTAACCTAACCTATGGTTTTTATCTCAATATTATTTTTTGCATTGCAATTATTTTAATAAATATATAGGATAGTTTTTATCTCAATATTATTTTTTGCATTACAATTGTTGTAATGAAGAAAGTTATAGAATTTTCGAGAAATGTTCAAAGGTATAAAATGCGAAGTTCGGTACGACGTAAATTCAGAAAATATATATGTTGGTTTGTACTTAATTTCAACATTTAGATACTTTACCTATTACTTTTAAATTTTCTCATACATAATAACACTAATACATGGCCTACGAAAATGCCAAAAAACCAACTAATACGCGGGCAACGCCGTGTCGGGATAGCTAGTATATATATATATATAAAGGTATAATATCGAGTGCCAGATTTAATCATTGTGCCGCTTTAAGCATTAAACAAATTGCCCCCTTTTATTATAAACAGGGACGGCGCCAAGGGTGGGCGAGGGTGGGCGATCGCCCACCCAGGATTAGTTCTCGCCCTGCTCTCGCCCCCCCCCCAGATATTTTAACTCCTATTAACTGGTGTGTGACTATGGAGCACTATAAAAAGCTATTTCCCCAACGGCCCCAAGTCCCAACTTTTGTAATATAAACGATTTTTGAACACAAGTAATATTCTGAGATTTCGAATAACCGGACCATGGCCAGCTGGTTTCCTCATAATGTTTATCGACGATTATTCACCATCACTGTAGCAGTGTAGTGCTATACTTTAAAGTTTGTACAGTTTACGAGTGTATTTATTTTGATTTATTATTTCGTAATCGTAAATAATAAATAGGATGATTATGTTCATTGTTCCACTCTCCGTAATTTTGCCGTAATCGATAAAAGTGCCACGATTAAATGTTTAAAAATAGCGGCGTTCGCCTATTAGTCGGGTTTCCCACACAACTTGTCATTGCTCGACATATTTTGTTCATTGTATATGTATGTGTGTGTTAATGCGCCCGCTTTGCCGCATTTTGTTTGTATATAGATATAATAGATACATTTCATATTTATATTAATCTCAACATTCTCAACAATCATAACGGCAACACTCGCGACAGTTTATACTTAATAGTCACCGATGACGACTGTATGACCAGTTTAAGCGTTTAACACGTTAAAATATCAAAATGAGTGTTAGAAAAATTGATTCTTACTTTGGTCCTCAAACTAGTTTGACTAATGAAGAAGAATTACAAAAAAAAACAAAAAACTACAAATACAGTGGCGGAAATTACTAATTTGGTGCAATCATGGGATGTGCAAAGTGATTTAGACATAAACACAAGTAAGTAACCAACAGTACTACTTACTACCATCATCAGTGGCGTATTTAGGTTTTTGTCATGAAAGGGGGGGATGTGACTTAATACAGTAATTATAAACTCGAGGGGGGATACGCCCAGGGGCGGACTGGGGCAACATTTCGGCCCGGTAAATCTATATTTGACCGGCCCTTGCAATTTCTCGTCATCACAAAATATAAAAATTCAAATATACCAACGTTTTATTTAATAAGAAATGCATCACTTATTGATGCCATCACATTTTCAATTTTCTCAAAAAACAACTTAAAATTCTTAATATTTTTAGTACATTATATAATATATTATTATTATTATCTGAAGACCTAAATAGTATAGGCTAAAAAGTATAATATAATATTACTTATTTATAATTACCTATATTACTAAATTAGTATTAACATTAGGTATAATAACACATATTGTAATACTTATGTGAAAGATATTTCAATAATTAAATATTTTTTACTTTTTTACATCTATATTTTAACATTTAAATAAACATTTTAATAGGTTAGATAAAAAAAGTTTTTTTTGCATATTAGTGCATATTTTGACTTCAGAGAATATTTTAGTTTATGGTACATAATACATATTATAGAATATTTTAGCATATTTCCGTTATATTTGATATATTGGATTATATTAAAGGATATTCAGCATATATTAGACAATTATCACGGACCGCCGTACTAACTTTACTCCAGAAAATTTGGAAAAATATATTATTGTACATTCCTTTAAAAACATTGTATAAAATTTGTATAAAAATTGGTCATTTTTTATTTAATTTTAATTATATAGAATAAATTGTTAAATTAATAAGTTATAATAATAATAATAATATTTATTGTCACCAAATTAACAATTAAAAACAATTTATGAGTAACAAACTAAAAATTAAATTAAAATACATTGGTTCTCTTTTCAAAAGCTGAGCTTGTTATTTTCCATTTTTATAATTTTATGGAAGACTGAAATTAATTAATTTAAATTGAAATTTATAAAATAATATCCTTAAGTATTTTTAATATTTTAATATAGTATAGTTTTGTTATGTTATTTAATTAGTATTGTCTTTTCATTGTCCTTAATTTACTAGACCAAGTAACTAAATTGTATTTATAGTATATGAAATAATGTACAAATATTTTATGAGTTTTGAGATAGGTATTTTGGTATTTAACACTTTTAACATATAAATATTTTTTTTTTATTATTACATTTCCCCACTTCTCTATGTAGAATTTTTCTAGAACATTTTTTTGACTTGAGGGCCCCAAAAAAAATTGTGCACTTGATCATAATTTTATTAAATCAGGCCCTGTACATTACTAGAGATTAAATATTTTATTAAAACAAAATTGAATTAAGTTGAGTTAATTATTACATCACAAAATCAATAATTGATAAAAAAAAAAATTAGATGACTATAATTATTTGTATTTATACAGCCTGTCAGCCTATGAGGGGGGATTGATCACCATGATACCCCCGTAAATACGCCACTAGCCATCATACTATCCTAATATTCATTAGCTAAATTGGTGAATTTAGGTTAAAGGTACCAGATACGTTATTTAGTTTACAAGGTTCTTAAAGTTTAATGTTTTATAGGCAGTTGTGACGAATCGTCAACAGATTCAGACGGTGCTGATTGTGATTTAGTAAAAACTGCACGTAACAAAGATCAAGTAAGCATTAAATCTTTATTACCTCAAAGTGGACCATGTGACATCACACAAGTTGTTTCTGATAACCCTACTCAGCCGGTGTTAAAAAATTATCCACGAACAAAATTTGGCAAAGAATGGCGAAATTTTCATTCTGAATGGTTTAAGTTGTATCCATGGTTAGAATATAGTATTTTGGAAAATTCATGTTATTGCTTCCCTTGTCGAATTTTTTCAACTGATCCTTCTGGATCTCCATTTTCCGAATCGGGATTTAAGAATTGGAAAAATGCCATGGAAAAAAATAGTGGTATAAAGCAACATGATAAATCAGTTTCACATAAATTATGTATGACTAAATGGGAAGGATATAAAATGACTGAAAAAACTGATAAATCTATTTTAGCCCTTATTAATAAAGAAAATGAGACACTAATAAAAGAAAATCGTTATTATATTGCAACAGTTGCAGAAATATTACTTTTTACAGCCCGTCAAAACATTGCTCAACGGGGAGATAATGAAAGTGGTGAAAGCATAAATAAAGGTAATTTTTTAGAACTTTTAAATCTTTGTGCTAAAAGAGATAAAAGATTACAAAAAAAAATCGATGAGTTGCCTAAAAATGCAAAATATACACATCACAGTATACAAAACGAAATACTTAGTATTATGAGTCTAATGGTTATTGAATCAATTGCAAATGAGGTACAAAAATCTAAATACTTTTCAGTTTTGGCGGATGAAACCAAAGACATCAGTAAAACTGAACAATTATCAATTATGGTACGTTATTTTTATAACAATACAGTAAATGAACGGTTTTTGGGATATGTACCTTGTTCTGAACTAAATGCCAAGGCCTTGTTTGAATTTATTAAGAAAACTTTAGCAGCTTCTGGAATAAACATCCAAAATTGCATAGCACAGACCTATGATGGTGCTTCCGTAATGAGTAGTTACCAAAATGGTGTACAAGCAATTTTTCAAAAGGAAGTACCAAAAGCATTATACACACATTGTTATAACCACCGTTTAAATTTAGTTATTGTGGACGTTTGTAAAAATATTCCAGAAATTGAACAATTTATAACACTTCTTCAACAGTTGTATAATTTTGTAAGCAGATCTACTGTACATATGGTTTTTTTGGATCACCAGAAAAAAATTTTTCCTAAAAAGAATACTATTGAACTAAAAAAGTTATGCGAAACCAGATGGATTTGTCAGATATCAGCATGTGTTGCTGTAAGAGAAACGTTTTCAGTTATACTATTACTACTAAATAAAATCAGTGTGGAATCAAAATCTGATAAAAGTATGGAGGCAAAATCCATTTTAGTACACATTAATTTTGAATTTATTTTTTGTTTACATCTCTTTTGTGATACATTTAGTCAAATAAAAATTGTATCTGATTATTTACAATTACCCAATTCAGATATAGGAACTAGTTGCTTAATGGTTGAATCATTAATTGATTATCTTAAGGAATTTCGAACAGTTGATAGATTATTTAATGTGCTTTTGGAAAAAGTTGTTTTGTTTGCGGAAAATAATAACATTCTATTGCCTGAAGAAAACATAATGTGTAAAAGAACTAATCGTAAATTGCCTGTTAGATTTGCATCTTATATTACAGAACTACCGACATCTGAAAATAGTACGGTTATGTGCAAGAATGATGTAAAGATAATCATATTTAATCCTGTAATTGATAGAATGATCAATGAACTACAATGTAGATTTTCTGATAATAATCCAATATTATCTGGTATAAGTTCCTTAAATCCTCAAAATAAATCCTTTTTAGACTTTCAAAAATTATTACCTTTTGCTAAGCATTATGATGTTGATATTGAAAGCTTGGAATCTGAATTTAAGTTAATACCCAAACTCATAAAAAGACATCAGATAGAAAAAAAAACTAAAATTAACACTATACTCGATTTCATTAAATTATTAGAATATTACAAATTGGCATTTTCTGAACTATATTTACTATGTACCATAGCAATTATCATACCTCCTTCCAGTGCCGGAGTGGAGAGAACTTTTTCTAGCCTCCGACAAATTAAAACTTATTTAAGAAATAAAATGATTAACTCAAGACTAACAGATATAGCAATTCTTTCAATTGAAAAAAACATTTCCAAAAATCTAGATATGGAAAAGGTTGTGGACAAGTTTTCTGCTGCTCATCACAATCGAAAAATAATGCTTATTTAAATTTTTTTCTTATTTTTTTCTTTGAATTGTATTTTTATTTTTAAATATTACTATTATATAATAAATTTATGTTACATGCAGAAATTCACTTAAATATTTAAAAATGTTTTCATATTTAAATGTAACTAATTACTATTATATATTAGTATTAAATTTATGTCTTATGCTGAAATGCACCTATACAGTTAAAATGTTTTTTTTTTTAATTTTTAAATCATAGATCCTTTAATTGTATTTTTTATTTTCAAATATTACTATCATGTAATAATTTCATATTACATGCAGAAATTCACTTATACAATATTACAGTGTTTACTGATACATAAATCAATAGTCATTACCTAACTTTTTTTTTTATTGTTATTGAAAGAAGTAAAATCGTTGAACTTGCCCCTTCAAAAAATTTACTTGCCCTTTACCGTCCCCCTAGAAAGAAAATTCTGGCGCCATGCCTGATTATAAATATTTTTCTAGTCAAATAAATGTTATTAAAGTACACAATTAAAGTTGTTTTCTTTATGACTTAAAATTTTAATGATGTAAAATAAAAATATACGACTGTAATAAAAATTCATACATACATTTGTATGAAAAACTTAACTATAAAGATATGATATAAAATATAATGATAAAAAGCATGGTAGTAAAAAAAGCTTAAATACCTAGTTCATTTTTAAATTATATTAAAAATTAAATAGTTTGATACTCATTGGCTTTATTAAAATAAAACATTTTATAATTAGTCGCATTTATTTTAGTTTTAGTTGCATATAAAAAAAATGTAATATTAAAAATTATTTGCCGCCCTAAGCACTAGCTTATAGTGTTTCTTGGGAAATACGGCACTGATAATATCTAATTATATTAATATTTTATCTTCATATTTCTACGAAGAAATCCATTTCATACATAAGAACATAAGTATATTTCATACATTAGTTAATACATGACAATATTTCTATTTTGTCATGAGCTAATCACTTATACAAATTAAAAATTATACATAAATATTTAAAATATATATATATATGTATAAATAAACAAACTAATTAGGATTAATTTATTACAAAATTAGATATCACAAAACATAGTCCTAACCATCAAATGAACATTTAAAAAATATTACTTAAATTATAATATGTTTATTCAAGAGTCCAATAGAGTATATATTATGTTTTCCAAAACAAACAAATGTACCTACATACTATAAGTAGGAATTCAAGTTAACATATTATTGATTTCTAAAATGTATTTGTTTTGTAAAAAATGATCATTATCTAATTTTTAGTTTGCTGTTTCGTTTTATTAATGAAGAGTAATCTTATTTTGATATATGTTTTTACAATTTTTAGAAGATGGTTATTAAATGGGGACTGATTTAAAATACGATCTGATGTTCCAGTGAATAATTAATTAATTTTTAGATGAGCTGTTGATTTTATAATTAAATATTAAATTAAATTTGATCGTTTTGATATTTCTCCAATAATAAGTATCGTAATGAAAAAGCCGGTGAAATATAGGATAGGAAGATTATCATTACATTCAATAATGAAATAAATAATTATAGTACGTGGATTAATCCATGATGAGTGTATTTGTAGTTTATCTCTCTCACTAGAAGTTGATATTAACATTAGGTAGTGATATTAGTCTATTCTGTGATATTAATTTTCTTTCTCTCAGCGAAGTCCCATATATTTATGTCTATGAATGAAAATAATTATAGAGAAAAAATGATTAAGTGTGTAGGTTATTAAATTACATTTAATAAAGGTTATGTGTTTCTTCAGATGATAATATTTTCCATAGTATAAAAATTGGTTACAGAGTAGTTAGTTTATAATAGCATTGATAATAGAATAGACTATTCTATAATCAATGATACTAGATATTCTATATTAGCTCTTCATATTTCAAACTTGTAGAATTTGTAAATATTAACCTAGACATCGTAGAAAATTTGGGGGGGTTACAACCCTTTAACCTCCCCCCCTGCATGCATAAATGGCCACAAGTACATTTTTTTTACTGTAAACTCCGTCAGAAAAATAAAAAAGGTAAAATTGGGTTCTTGTAAACTCCGCCAGTGAAGAAAATCGAGTAGTGGTATAAAATTAATATTATATATTATTAAAAGTAATACATAATAAGTAATAATAAGTGAATATTATTATTATAATATTATATAATATCATACCTCCATTTTATTTCACCAGACGCATATTTTATATTTTGATTATATTTGTAGTGGTTAAATAAAACCAATAAATTGCCTCGTTGACCAGTAATTAATTTTATATTATTCCTTTGTTGTGACATATTTAGTTTTATATAAAATATACACGGAGACACGTAGACTACGAATGATTATGTTCGTCAAAGTATACTTTACTTATACCTTACCTATTGCCGATATCATCATTGGAAATACTAATTTCAGATAATATGAAGATAAAATTATTAATAAATGAATCTGTTTGCGCACCGTCACGGAGCTATTGAACCAATTATCTCTAGCTGGCCGCGCGACACTCGCGACGTATATTGTCGGTGATTTGAATCTAAGAGAAAACAAGAACTCGGAGAGAGGAGACTACTTGTAACGTAACAACAAAAAAAATCGTGTGCGGTATGCCAAATAATTTGATTTATTACCCTGCTTTATAAATCATCAAACTTATAGACTAAGGTTAGTAAAAATAACTTATGCGCGATCACAACCCGATCGGCAAGTACTAAACAAAATAATAATAATACCACAAAGGCGCGTCGAAGACGACGATGAATAACAATAAATAATACACAGCGTAAAACCCGTCGGTTGTATGAACAAAATAATAATAATCAAAAGGAAAAAAAACGGGTGTACGACCTGATACGACGTTGATACTAGGATGGCTCTGTGGAGAAGGACCAGTTGTCCCAAAAACGATGTACACAATGGAAGATCGGCCGGCGTGGGCCAAACTACGTTGGACGACCAACGCTCCCGTTGTCACAGCGCAAACGAAAAAACCACTACGCGTCGCGGCCAGCACGTATGCCCGATGTAGGGCGGGCGGACGAACAACACGTGGACGCGTGACAAAATCACCGGGCTAAAACTCAGATGACCACGGATCAGGGGCGCACAACGAAGGTCGGATGAGCGACGAACACAGCTAACAACTCGTGGTGTCGGCACAGACGGCCGGAACTCGGAACACGAAAATGAAAACGTACGCGACGAGTTCGCGAGCAGCGAGGCTCGGATGTACGACACAAAACTCAAGCGTTAATGACGGCGACGGCGCACCGGGTCGCGCTAGTTAGAAAACCACGTGGTTTTTAACCCAAAAACAAAACTCGACCGCAAAACAAACTCGGGGGAGCGCTACACCTTAGCCATAGACGGCTCAAACACGACAACGGACATGGCGACGGGCTCGTTGGTTGGAGGCTCGACGGCGGCCGCAGAGACCTCACCATAGAGGTACAATGGTTAACCTACTGATCGCTCCAGGGTGGCCAACGGTACGGCATAAACTGGAACGACGACACCGCGCGCACTTTAAATCTGGATTATATACCCAACAGAATCTATGTAGATATATATCCACCTTGAAATGAATCGATCCATGACAATAGTTTTATCAATTTTGACATACATCATTGCAATAGATGTCATCGTATTTAATGTGAGAAGGCACGTGGCAATGTGAGCACTGAGCAGGTAAACAAAAAAAAAAAAATAATAACTAGAGGAGTTTCCATATTCCCATAACAGGTAAGAAGAAAAACTGGCGGAATTTAAACTGGACCTTTTATTATTTTTTTATCTTCACCGATATTCTAGCGGAGTTTACCCATATGAAATATACATTCAGGATTTAGCCGGTTTGGGACAAATAAACACCATAATATTTAAAAATCAAAATGAAGGGGGCCAGTTCGGGGCCAATGATTTTTCTTAGGGAGCCAGACCTCCTAAGCCCCCCCTTGACGACGTGCCTGCACCCAAAAATCAAATACATAATCGGCCTCCGAAATGAAAACCTGTATACGCCACTAGCCATAATAATTACATAGAAATAAGAAATGCATAGATGAACATTTAGATTATTTCAAAAAATAGTTCAACTTTATTAACACAAGTTCTTTGCAAGGTTGGTCTTGATCTGAATCACATTTTGACAAGCTGTTTTCTTGATCAGTTTCTTTAACTTTTTTACGAAAAAAAAAAATAAAGGCATTCGACTGTCTTTTCATTTTTAATTTAATAACTTAATATGTAATTTAGTAATATATGAAATTTACACTACCACAAAATATCATCACAGTTAAAGAAAAAATAATATAATTTTATTACTCGTTTTATTATAATATAAATAATAATAAACATTAGTGTTGCAATATGCAATATGTTGCTCAATGTTTACAGTAATATAATATTAAAAAATAGTTATATCACTGAATAGAATAATATAGTGATACATTGTTTATCGACGTAGTCAATAAGCAATTTCCTAAGAAAATAAACCAAGTTTTGCTATAATGCTATAAATAGTTGAAAACAAGACCCAGTATATATTGTATAATATAGTTATTATAGTAATATGTAAACCACTGTAATCAATCCATTAATATTAATGATTATAATAAGAACTTTTAGATTATATAATAAATAATTGATAAATAACTAACATTAATATTTGTATTAGAAAAAATGTCAATGTTTCATATTTTTATTTTTTCTAAAACACATAACATTAGATATAAGGAGCTCAATTTTTAATCACGCTCTCTCAGACGCGTTCTTATTGTCTTTTTGTACAGACGGTCAAAGATGATTGTAAAAGACTACGCAGATCGTCTATGCAGTAAGACTTAGTTGTAAACGTTTGTAATAATAATTAAAAATACATATATCAATGTATATCAAAAAAATTAAATAAAATTAACAATAGTGAGTCAAAAAAAAAGTTATTATTATTTTTAAATACAAATTGGTCACCTCA